TTTTCTTTTTTCTTCTTGGCAACTGTTTGGCTGATTATATTATTATATAGGTGCTAAACTGGTTTAATTTCGAGCAATCATTCGAGGTATAATTCGTCGTTTCGTTGAAACTGCTAATTCTAATTTTAATCCTTTGCACTCGAGAGGCGACCCACAGTCATTTAATTAAATTTTGAAGGACGATGTTAATTAATATATGAAATTCAAGATAGCGCAATGATGCGTGGCAGCAGAATAATTCTACGTCTTAATTTGCATACGATTTCTAATTTACCATTTTGGAATTTATGGATATATTATATATATTTGGAAAACCATCAGGAAGTCTTCGAATTGCCATTTTTCTCTAGCGAGAAGGTCACCAAAGGGAATTTGTTGGATAAGCTTAGAGAAGAAACGAGTCCAAGTAGATCGTCCTTTCCATGGTCAGACGGGTAGTAAGGAAACTACGCGTGAAACTGTTAGATTTGAATCGATTTGGTTTTACAGAATAATTGATAATTAACGAGTTTGCTAATCCTAGATTCTATAATTGAAGCGATAGGGTGAAAACAGATGGGCAGGTGTAATCCACTTCAAAGCGAAATAAAATTCCTCGATTATGTTTAACACGTTGAGCCCGACGTCCCTATTGGTCCCTGTTGGTCCCCGTCGGTCCTTGGGGACCGACAGTATCATAGTTAAAAATAAATGTAGTAATTTTAGTGATATTGCGGGGGTCCTCCCCCCACAGTCATTGATGTCGTGCTGGTCACAGGTAACCTCTGTGGTAGTGTAGTCGTTAGAAGGGACAGTAGGAAAATGAAGGGATGCGTTTCGTCCTAGGCCTGCTAGTGGACTCATCAATAAAGCTACCCTGCCTTAGACTAGGATACTATTGAAAGGACGATATGTTATATAGGATTTGGAGGTTTCCCAAGTACTTACAAGAAAATCCTCAAAGTCGGATCGATGATCGCTACAATATTTATTGAAACATTCTAAACAAAAATATAGTTTGGTTTTGCACGTATTACAAAACCTGACGATTTTTTAGTCAAATTTCTGACTGTCTTGCATCCGAATAGCGTTGAATTTTTGTCGTAACGTCGGTACCGAGCTCAATGCGTTAAAAATGAAGATTCTCCCTCATGGGACACTAAGCAAAATTCTTGCTGTAAAAGAATCAAAGGTATCGATGAAATATCGATAGAAAATTGACAAAATACAAAGAACCATTGACAATTTCATCCAACTTCCTCTAATCTCCGGCATCACGCCTATTATCCGAACCCCGCGCGAGTGCCTGTAACGCGAGTGTAATACAGCGCGGAAAACGAACTTTCCAAAATTCCATCAAACTTTAGCCAGCCGACCATCGCGTCGTGGCAAACCTGCTCAAAATAACGAGCCATCAGCGAACAATCTGCCAAACCTTAATCCCCCTCATCGTCCACACTTCACAGCGTGCCGAAACGCTGTACCCGAGCAAGTGAGCTGCTCCATCTCGGAATATCTAGACCACGTTCGATGGACGCGAGCAACGAGCAGCACACCCTGGTAATCGAGTGCCCCAGGACCACCGATGTCTCTCCATGGTCCGCGCGTAGACGGTCGTTATCCAGACACCACCAGGGGGCTTGGAGTGGCCCTATCGTTAGAAAACCACGCGTTGACCGATTTCAGTGCAGGACGCAGAGGGCTGTGGGACAAGCCTTTGGGACATGTTCAGCCCGCGAAAGGCAAAAAGGAGAAGGGGGTGGAAGGTGAAAAGAGAGTCCATCCACAGTCGGTCCGTACGAACGAAGAGGGGCAACGACGACGGAGGGGGTCGAGAGGGTGGGAAAGAGAAGTATTGGCCTCGTCAAGCGGTTTCAGGCTTGCCGATATTCCGGCCGCTTCTCGTCGACCCTTATGAAGCCAATTACACTTCGCCTCGCCAAAGGCACCCCACTTATAGCCGGCAGTCGACGTTTCTGGGGCTCTTCGGGGGCCGCGACCGGTTCTGCAGCACGTATACCGGTTATGTATTAGATACCGCCACTGTGAAAGCTGCGCACCCCTTTTCCGTACCTCGGCTACGTCACCCCGTGGCTGCGCCTCGCGTAACGACGATCCGGGGTGACAGCGAGCACGGAGGGGGTGCTGTCGCGGGTTTCGAGTAATTATCGATAGGGTAGAGCCAGGGTTCGAACGGCAGATACCGCTGTATTTTTATTTCTTCCAAGTCGAGTTAGGGAAACGCGTTTACTTCTTTTTGCGTCGGAGCTCGCTGCGGCTTGCAAACGAGGGAGGTTTTTGGGGGCTTCTGGTAAGCGCACGAGGACACGAAACGTTTCTACGAGTCTCCTTTTATCGGGTAAGAGCACAAGGGTACAAGAGGGTTTCGTCGATGTTGCAGGAATGACTTCACCGGGTGATGGATGATTTATACAGTGGTATCGTGTATCGATCTATTCTCGGGGGTTCATCATTATTCGGGAGGGTTAGTAGAAGGAGTAAATAGAAGGTAATTCTGATTACTTGTCATGAGACAGCAACGAGAATTTTCATCCCTTAACTCTTTGCGGGATTTCAAATAATAAAATAGACCCACGTTGCATGGAAATTTGATTGACTTTTAAATGAAACGAAATTGGTATATTTTTACTAATAAAGGAATCACGTAATGTAAAAACATAAAATCAGAAAAAGAAGATTGTCGCAATAAACCTTACTGGCATGTTAAATATTGCCAACACGAGCGAATACATTTATAACATTTGTCACAAGGTATTACCAACTGCTTTACTGTAAATGAGTCGATATATAAATCTATGTGCGTGCAGCTATTGCAATATTTCGAGATGGGACTAAAAATGTCCCACCATGCATTACGGTGCATCAAAAAAGTGGGATACTTTTAATCTCGGCGTGCCCCAAAGAGTATAATATCCCCTAATAATACTAGTAATTAGCAGTAATATCTTCTGCACTTAATTATTTTGAATCTGAGCCCAACCCTACATTAGGTTCGTCTTCGAGAATCTTAAATTAAATAGCTGCTTCTTCGTCTAACTTTGTTAAACCGAAATTGCAATTTTCGCTGAAGGGGTTAAGAAAGTAACTTCGTCCCTTACGAATATCGTATGCCACGCAAATTATTATCAAACAGAGACTCCAGAGGGTGGACACAGAGCGATGGTCGCCGAGGGATGTGCGGCCAGTGATCAATGTCCGTTCGCCGGGTCATCCGATTCGTGTTTGTAGTGCAAACCGGCACGATATTAAATACATAGTCCTCCTTTCCTCCAATCGGATCGTTCTTCTTTGATCTCGCCCGTAATAATGTTTATCCTGCATCCGTTGATACGCGGCCAGCAGGCGCGACGCCGACGGCGCACTGTGTCGCCGCGAATCAAACTACCCCCATGAAAAAGTATCCAGGGTAAATTGCGATTGTTCTCGGGGATCGTTAGCGAATTCGGTGCAGTTGAAACTGGTTCAGCGTTGACAGTTGAATATTAAACGCAGCGTAGGCTGCATCGAATTCTTCGATTTAGGGGTGAGTTTTATGCTAGAGTCCCATGTTTTTGGAAAAATTTAGAAAAATTAGATACTTCACGGTAAATTGCGGTTGCTCTCGGGGATCTTCAACGAATTCGTTTGACAGTTGAAACTGATTCATCGTTGACAGTTGAATATTAAACGCAGCGTAGGCTGCATCGAATTCTTCGATTTAGGGGTGAGTTTTATACTGGAGTCCCATGCGTTTGGAAAAATTTAGAAAAATTTAGAAAAATTAGATACTTCACGGTAAATTGCGGTTGTTCTCGGGGATCTTCAACGAATTCGTTTGACAGTTGAATATTAAACGCAGCGTAGGCTGCATCGAATTCTTCGATTTAGGGGTGAGTTTTATACTGGAGTCCCATGCGTTTGGAAAAATTTAGAAAAATTTAGAAAAATTAGATACTTCACGGTAAATTGCGGTTGTTCTCGGGGATCTTCAACGAATTCGTTTGACAGTTGAATATTAAACGCAGCGTAGGCTGCATCGAATTCTTCGATTTAGGGGTGAGTTTTATACTGAAGTCCCATGCGTTTGGAAAAATTTAGAAAAATTTAGAAAAATTGGATACTTCTCGGTAAATTGTGGTTGTTCTCGGGGATCTTTAGCGTATTCGTTGACAGTTGAATATTAACCCTTTGCACCCGAGAGGCGCCTTTCAGTCGCCATTTGATAAAATTTCGAAGCTTGATATTAATTAATATATCAAATTTAAGACAACGTAACAGTGTGCGAGGTATCGAAATTAAATAATTCTACCTGTTAATTATTATACAATTTCTAATAATATATCAAATTTAAGACAACGTAACAATGTGCGAGGTATCGAAATTAAATAATTCTACCTGTTAATTATTATACAATTTCTTACTTACTGCTAGAAAAATATCATCAGTCTTATAGCAGAAAATTTTTCTCGTACTCCTCTTTAGCCAAAATATCGTCGAGTGCAAAGGGTTAAACGTAGCGTAGGCTTCATCAAATTCTTCTATTTAGAAGGGGTGAGTTTTATGCTGGAGTCCCATGTGTTTAAAAGAATTAAGAAAAAAAAATGTATTCTCGTAGAAATTGAAGAAGAATTTTAGAATATCGCGATTCGTTTTTAACATTCGTTTATATACAAGTAATACGATTTTTCCTATCGAGCTTTGAAGGATTTAAAGTTTCCAAACTCGAGTAAATCTCGCGTGATCCTCTCACGATAATGGCGCAAGGTTTTACGTGATTACTTTCATTTATAACCGTTGTTTCGTCTACAACGTGTAAAATAAGATGTAAAAATATTTTAATAGAAGCCGTATAACGAAGCACGCAAAGCGGATACAACAAAGTTCCATTACCGTTTTCGAGTAACGGCGATTACGTCTTGAAACACCCGTCACGCGCTCGACGTGCCTCTTTGCTGAACTTTAAACGCGAGACGGGGCATCTTTTCCAGCGAGTGCAACAACAGTATCGTTTTTTGTTCCAGGTCTGACAAGAGCACCGATGTACCCCTTCTCCACGGGTCAATATCCGTACCCCATGCTTAGCCCGGAAATGACGCAAGTCGCCGCTTCCTGGTAAGTCGATACACTTGGTTCACCGATGTTATAAAACCTCGAGCTACAAGAGAGCCGCATAAACGGCTGCTCGTTACGCGTACATCTTGTAAAATAACACGACTAATTAACCCTCTTATCAACCGTAGGCAACAGATCGGAATAGTACAATTTCCCGATAATTTCGCGTCCCGTCGTCGTTAACCATTTTTCGTGCCGGGAGACGCGGATAAAGGAAGCGGATTGAATGGCCATAGATACGATCGTAATAAAGTCGCGACGATCCGAAGCGAGTTCGACGAGAAGTGGGCCTGATTTACATGAGAAACGTCCGATTTTCCTCGCTCAAGCAGTCGTTAATTCCGTCTTTCGCGTACCGACGATTCAACCCTCGAACGCGACACTCCACCGGCATAAACGCGATTTTTATTTAGTAGCATTCCTCTCAACCCTTCTTTCATCCCCCGTTGTCGGTTCAGTCATCGTACGCGCGTTTTTCGGAGCAATAAAATGGGGAGAGCGAAGAACACGCGTTGCGTACCGAGTAAAACGGGCCAACGAGTTTCTCGATTCCGTTGCCGTTTTCCCGGCCAAATCACGGCTACGTTTCCTCGGTCATCCTCTCAGTTCTGGTCTATTAGGTCCGCTACGTTCACCGACGGTCGCCATCGTCGCAGGTCCAGCAATAACGCGCGCTGACCGCATCGGAACAACCCTCTTGCGGCCGACGGTGCCTCAACCGCCCTCCTTGTTATTTGCTTTCTGCTCGAACCGTCCCAAATTGAGATTTTCCACGGATGATTAGGCACGTTCTTCTCAATTAGGAGGGCGGCACCGCGCTTTTCCCCGCCGACTCCGTGGGACCGTCTCATAGCTGCGAGTGGAAACCAAGAGAGATCTTCGAAGGATCTCTGTCTCAGGGTGACGAAGAAATTCCGATGCAGAGAAGTTTTGAATTAAACAGGCTGAAATTTGCGTTTCTTTGCGAAAGGAATTCGGAAAATTTTAGTACCTTTCCTTGGATTTTTCTTTTTTTTTTTTTAATCGCAGAGGAGAATTTGCAAATTTGGTGTCAAACGATTAGATACAACGGATTTAATGGACTAAAATATTTAGTAAATTAATATTTTTATTGGAAATTTCGTAGGGGAGCGAAGAATTTCTATACCGGGGGTGAAAGGTCCGCGTGGATTGAAATTGCGAGTTTTGGAGAGTTTTCAGTTCGGAAACTCGGGAATTTTATTTCTGTTGGATAAAACAGAGTTTGGAAAGTTGATGCCTGTTGGTGGATTTTTCTCGGGTAGAAAAAATTGTGGCGAAGAAAATTTTGTATCGGGGGTTAAAGGTAATCCACTCTGCGTAGACCGTACTTTATTGAATTAGCGTTTTCGTTGGGAATATTTATATCCAAAGAATAAAAATATTAATTATTCTGCAAAAATAAAAAAAAAAAATACAAAGATTAAAAAATAATCTCTGTGGAATGCAATTTGAAACCAATTATTTCGACTGATGTAATAACTCCAGTATTATTTTACGAATGAAAATTCGAAAAATGTATTTGTACCTAAAAATTCTTTATTTTTAAGAGAGACTTCGTTTTTCCGTTCCATTTCGGTCCCTTCGGGTGAAATTACCGTTTTACTTTCTAAATGGAATTACGCGGTAATAGATAAGGGAACACTGGAGAAGTCTAGAAAACTACCAGCGGCAGCTAGCACAGCGTACGAAGACAATCGTTTTCAGGCTAATGCTCTTGTTTGACAAGTAACGATTTCGTTTCAGGCACACACCGAGCATGTACCCCATTTCCCCGGCAAGCACTGGTTTCAGAAGTCCGTATCCCACGAGTTTGCCCATCACAAGTTCTAGTTTACCAAGGTTAGTAGGTGATCGAGATCGGATTTGTCAAGTTCATTCAAACATTCTAATTTCTGTTACACGTTACTCCACTCCGCGTCTCTGTACACCCACACTGCAAATACCATCGACGAACGTTTCAACTTGTACCTCTGTGCCACTGCAAACTTTGAGAATTGGCAAATTCGACGGCAAACAAATTCTTCAAACAAATTCACCGTGGATCTTGTGCCACTTTCGCGATTATTTGTCTTTTTAATGAACGACGTGTTTGTCTTTTTAATTTTTCAGTTGAGAATCGATGGAAAAATTGTTTATCCTCCGCCATATTTTTTAAATCCTTATGCCACTCGATTATTAAACTATTTTTACTCGAGTGACGTTGAAACGTTCGGATAACATTGGTTCGATAAAATTGTCAAGCTTCTCCAATTTTTAACCTATTATTTCAATATATTTATTAACGAGGCATTGGAAAAACGAATAATTTGCCAATTCCATTTTGCAATTTTTTTAAATCGCTTGAAACATATTACATATACACGTGTGCGAATATTCCCGAGAAGAGTTGTTAACCTTCGTAATATTGACTGAGATACAAATTTTTATTACAATTTCGAAAATAAATTTTTACTATTTTTCTGGCATAATTTACTCGCGAATATTTTTATCGACGATCGAGGAGGAATAATTTAATTTCAACCTTCATCTCGAGGATTTGGATGTATCACGAAGGTTAAAATCTCTCGATATTCCACGACACGTACCACGTCGATCGATCATCACGAAATCGCTATAAATCGCTATAAATCGTTACATAAATCGCTGTAAACCGCGAATACTGCGAATTACCAAAATCGTGTGACCTTCTTGCAGTGATCTCTACCGGTTTTCGCCGACGGGTCTGATGCCACCGCACCCCGGACTGAGTCCGCACGCACACGCGTTGGCGTCCCACGCATTGGTGTCCTCGGCGCCGAAGACGGATCATTCCACCCTGGATCACAATCACAGGTTCGTTTCCGTCGACATATCAGCGACACCTGCACTCTTTACCGCGTAGCCGAACGATTCGTCGTTACCTTCAATCGAAAAGCTACTCTACGCTATTCGCTGCACGAGGCGATCTTAATCGCAGCCGATGATCGATCAAACTTCTCGATCCAGTGTTATCAAGAGATCTACGAATCGTCGACAAGCAAGCAACGAATTTCGATATAATAAATATATCATATTCGAAAAGCCAGAAGAAAAGCAAGATTTATCGGGAAGAATAGTTCAGACACGTCGATACGAGGGAAAATGAACGCGTGAAAGACCACCGGTTCGGTTCCTACCCTTCTTCTCTTCGCGCCAGTTGCTACATTCCAGGCCGAATTCTCGCTCTGTCGGAACGAAAGACCTACACGCGGTGCTTTGATCAGCGTCGCGGGCACGCTGGTAAATATCGCAGCCAGGAGCATTAGCAAGCAGAACGCGGGACAGTCGATAATTTACTGGATGCACGCGCGATGGGTACGAGGGAGGGATGAAACCGAAGCACGGGACTCTTTTCGTCCTACTGAACTAAAAATGCTCGTCGAGGCGGCACTCGATTGCCGTGTATCGACTCGGCGAAATGGCTTATCTACCATGTTCCATCAGCCACCGACAGAGGAGGTACTCGAGACGGGTGGATACTCGTAGACGTCTCCTTTTCATCCGGGGCGGTTTTTATGTCCTTCCATCGATAAAGGAAAACGACCGGCTGCCTGGCCCGTCCGTTGATAAAGAAGCGTGAGTGTATCAGGGGTTGACGGATAGTTTCGGTGACGACCATAGGGGGTAGCACGTCACAGGGTGTTCAACCCCTCGTGCAGTCGTTCCCCCTTCGCCGGCGAGGCACGTATAACACTTATTGAATGACTCTCTTCGCACAGCGTCTGCGCCTGCCGGCGCCGCCACCGCCAACGCCGCCGCCGCCGCCGCCGGTTATGTATTGATCATTACCCTCTTAAACAGATTTCTAATTTGCATTAGTACCCGGCCGATCGCCTGGCCCGAGCATCGTATACAAAGCCGCATGGTCGCGCTTCCTACATTCGAGGCACGCGTGCACACAAGGCCATATGCACGGCACACACGCCGTGTGATCAGCTGGCAGCTGCTGGACGACGAGGCTCGTTCTCGAAGAGGGGAACGTCGCGTGCCGCCGAGCGTCGGGACGCCGACGGACTTTTACGAGGCCGCGTGAACGGGGCCTCGCGTGCTCTGGTCTTCCATTTTGACCTTCGATCCAAGCCACGTGCCGCGGGGGTTGTTGCAGACCAGCTCGGCCAGTGGCTAGAACTGTTCGTTCGTTGGTTCGCAGATCTGCGAGAAGATCCGACGGAGGTGTACACCACGTGCTCTCGGTTTCGCTCGGGTTTCGGAATTTTTCACTGCGGGAAATCGAGCGAGGGGTGATACCCCGCGGTCGGATCGATCGGACTCACGTGTCAGGATCGGGAGAGCAGAGGCGAGATGTCGAAACTCCTCGTACACGTTGGAATATTCTTTTGGGGTAAAGAGAGATCGATAACGAGGGTATAAAAGCAGCTGATCCGTGGAGACAGAGGACTACCCTCTGTCCGGTGCAGGTGGCACATATCGTGGTGTGTGGTGGTGGTGGTGGTGGTTGTGCTGGTGGTGGTAGTGGTGGTAGTGGTGGTGGTAGTTGGTTGTAGTGGTGGTAGTGGTAGTGGTGGTGGTGGTCCCAGGCAGAGAGCGGCGGGGGCGGAGGGCGCCGATGGTAGCGCCACGCAGCCCGCCAAAAAAAGGCATCACGCAGGGAAAGCGGAGAGAATGCAATCTTCACCCCCCACGCGCGAATTATACATCGGCGGATGGTAGGGTGTCGTTGCTGCGGAGCCATGAATCGCGATGATGGCCCCACGGTGCAGCCCTCCACCCCGCCGCCCCTTCCGCACTCGCGGATAATCAATCGTCGTAACACCGCTCGGTGATTCCACCGACGCCAGGAACGACGCATTTTCGCTGGATGCGGGATACACAGGGTGGTGGAAAGAGGCACGGAGGAAACAGACGGTAGTAGTACACCAGCATACAAACAGACCCGCTATTTCTTACTTCGCTATCTCTGCTCCCTGTCTCCGTGTGTTCCTTGTGAAATAATCGTGGCGAGGAAAGAGGAACAGGCATATACGCGCGCGTGTGCCCGAACTAGCAGAGGAGATAGCTAACAGAAGGAACAGATCTTCCGGTGGTAACGTCTGTGATAAACGGGGGGAAAAAAAAGAGCGAGAGAGAGAGAGAGAGAGAGAAAGTGAGAAAGTACGATAGAAAGAGAGAGAGAGAAAGAGAGAGTCAAGAGAAAAGATTCATCGAGAAGAGACTCGTCTCTTCTGTTTGCTCGTCTTCATTTTTTCGGGGTTGCTGAGACGAATCGAGTGAGGGACACAAAGTGCGAGAGAGAGAGAGTGAGAGAAAGAGAGGATTGCGGCGGGCCCGTGCACGAGATGCCGCCCCTGGAGACATTTTACCGTACGATTCGACGCTCATGAATGTTGAATGCCATCCACGACGATATGGAGCCATTAAGATCGACGACGGGGATACGCGACGTGCGGACGCGGATGCTCGGGACGTGGCGTGAACAGTGTTTCGACTGCTTCCGGGTTGACGCTGTCATCACCGGTGTCGTCGTCGTCTCGTACGGCAGTCAGGCGCCGCGTTGACGTCGTTGCCGTTCGCGTGGATGTTGGTGCGCGTACGTGTGCTGTTTACTACGAGTACCGTTTCGTCGGTATTACCTCTTCGACGTGTGGTACGATGATAGGACACGGGGACGCGGCGACGAATAGCTGCAGCGCGGTGGAGTGCAACGCAACGCGGAACTACCTGGCCACTGACGTTCTCGAGCTTCTCGATCCTGTCGCGATACTACGCGGGCCAACGTGCTCGTACGACGATGCTTGCAACACTGACGAATCGGTTAGCGGAAGGATGATGATACGTTGCTCGAACCGCGGTGTCGATCACTGCGTGATGAACGTTCACGTGTACGGGAAGCTTGGCACGCGAGAGCTCGAATAAAGACACGCAGACGAACAGAGGGAGAGAGAGAGAGAGAGAGAGAGAGACAGCCGAAGAGATTGAGGAAGAAATACAAGGTATTACAACCAGAGTAGAGGTGACACACGCGGTATCGCGGTTCGATGGATCAGTTTAGAGCGTGCCGGTGGGTATAAACGGGGACCCACGAGTGCGATGGAGCCCGAGTGTCTGGAGCCATTGAACCTGGTGATAAAGAAGGACGACATCACTGAGAGCGGGCCGACGACCAACGTGACGATCGAGGAGGGCAGCAGCGAGGCATCGATCAACAGGATCGACGAGGAGAAGTGCAACGGCGATCCTGGCAAGACGATCGAGGAAAACATGACGATACTCCAGGACGCGATGAAGGCCGGCGAGGCTGGCTTACCCACCGCCGATCACAAGATCCTCACCGCACTCTACATGAGCAGCCTGATGCAGATGTCGAACATGAGCCTACCGAGGAGCGTGACACCGCCTCCGTACGGTGCCCAGCATAACTTCATGCAGCTGCTGGCGATGGTGGAGGCGAGACATAGGATGTGGCAGCAGATGAACTGGCCCTTGCCGCAAAATTTCCCCAGGAACCCGCTCACCTTGCCAGCCCAACCGTACTTCGACGGGCCAACCACGAATCTCACGGAGCAGCTCTGCAATACCCAGAACTCCACGCCGACCTATCCCCTATCCTGCACGAAACCTGACCAACAACCCCTGAACCGCGACGCGAAGCAGCCTTACTTCAAACGGTAACAATGGGAACGTAGCTGAATAGGGCGTAGATCGATTTTGCGCGGGAGATACGATTAGCAGTCTTTTTCTTTTTCGTTACCTTTTTTTTTTCTCTCTCGTTTATTTCGTCAAAGTGAAAAGACGATGACGTAGTAATGGAATTTCTTTGGTTGCTCTGTCGACAGGTCTGCGGTAGAACAGAAGAATTCCACGTCGTTACCGACCGACAACGCGAAAGCACAGGACACAGGGCAGCAGAACAATCAAGGTAAGAGCTCGTTTAACGGACCTGGGCTTCTGTGATCAGTTTACCGTTGATTTTCACTGTAGAGGCCACCTCTCATACCCGTCGATGATGTTTGACAGATAAAAAGAAACCCCATATAAAAAAGCCTTTGAACGCGTTCATGCTGTACATGAAGGAGATGAGGGCGAAGGTCGTGGCGGAGTGTACCTTAAAAGAGAGCGCCGCGATCAACCAAATATTGGGAAGACGAGTGAGTAGACGGAACTATACTTTCCTTCATAAGTGTCAGTATAGCGTTGGACAGCTGTTGCATCAGGGTTTGTACGAATTACGTGATTCCGTTCACAGTTTAACGATATTCCTGTCTCACTCATACCTTTTCAGTTCTAGCCGCTGTCAGGATTGTCCGCGTACACGATGAGTCGTGATTCGAGGTGTAAGTGCGAATTAGGTTGAAACAATGGATCAACTTACTCACGTGAATCTTCGTTTTTCAGGCAATCGCAACACTGGCTATTGATCGAGTGCTCGTGTACCTGATCCACGCTTTGCCACCACAATAGCTGATTCTGTACGCGATACGAGGCTATAATAAGTCACTTTTGATTCAAGGACAATGATAGTGTAATAATAAGTATCGGTAGTCTATAGATATACCACTTTTATCCGAGTGTCACATTAAAAATTAAAATCAGAACCTCGACGTTGTAACATTGTCTGAATAGGAATTGACAGTTGACCTATTCGCAACTGTGTAGCCATATAGTATTTATATCAACTTGTACTGCTGCGTCATATCTTCTTAGATTTCTAAACACAAATTGGAGATAATATAACGACGAAGAGAAATTTAATTCAGTGTCGTATCTATAATATTCGAGACTAGGGTTAAGATCGTAGGATAACCCCACAATCTGATAGTAAGCAAACTCTGACGTTGTATCGTGTACAGAAGCAGCGAAGATAGAGGTCTGTGGAGATGGGACGAGTTGCCCAAAGCGTGATCCAGGAGCACGTGTACTCTTTCAAAGTCGTATCTCTGTAGAACGAAGATTCACCAGAAGGCAAAAGTCAGTCCATTCGACCTAATTCGTGTCACGAGGTCTCAGCCCTTTTATACCACGAATTACGTCCCACCCTGTATAAATTGTTTAAATTGCTATTAACAGTATGATGAAATGTTTCAGGAGCAAATTCTTTTTCTTTTTTTTTCTCTCTCAATTTCAAGATCACGTAGAGAAAGTCGACGAGAAAGAGACTTTTTGGAACAGCAGCTGGTTCCTAAAACATCTTCCCGTATCGTTAATAGCAACGAAGACGCTTCGGAAACGTGTTCGAACGAGCCCTGATGTAAAGAGGAGCGTGCCGAAAAGTCAAGATTTTCTTCCGTGTCTCTCTTTGCTTTCCATCCGAACGATTACCCTCGATGATTCACGAATCGTGACGATTTAACGGGAAACGAATTGCCTCGAATATAACGTCCAATGAAAAGCTTGCCTAGAAATGATAAGAAAAATCACGTGGAATGTCAACGATCAAGATTCGCATCGTCACAGGCATCGAATGGTAGACGCTTAAAGATCGACGATCACGTTAATCCGGAAGGAAAATGTTGACTTGGCGGGCACGGAACGATCGGTATCCACAGAGAACCCTGAAACGCAAAAGGTGTCTCGAAGGACGATCGGAAATCTGGGAAAGAGAGGAAAAGATATAAAGACAAGTTGCATGCGTTTTGTTAACTCTTTCGTTGGTCCGCGAGATTGATAAAATATCGAAGCACTAACCGTACCTGCTAGTATCTCAGTACGACTAGATAGATAGAATAATAGACTAGACTAGAGAGAAAGAGAGGGAGAGAAAGAGAGAGAGAAAGAGCATCGTAGGTGGGATCTAAGGAAGTGTCTCGGCCATGTAAATAGGGGGTTGTTTCTAGGGGTGGGTCGAATTAAAACGGGTCGGGGGAGTATCGAAAAAAAAAAAAAAAAAAAAAAGTTTATGTAAAATAAGAACACCTCTCTCTTGATGTGTTTATCCACGGTGTGAGGGGAAACGAGTTGCTAAAGAGTAACATAATAATAAGAAAAAAAAAAGATAAAAATAAAAAAAAAAGGGACACACGGTGCACGGATAAATACTGTGAGACTGTGAATCTGTGAATCTGAATTTTGGGGGTATGACACGCAGTGGCACTCGCTAAGCCGGGAGGAGCAGGCGCGGTATTATGAGGCGGCCAGGCAGGAGCGCCATCTCCATCAGCAACGATACCCCGGCTGGAGTGCCAGGGATAACTACGGATACGGCAGCAAGAAGAAGAAGAGGAAGAAAGAACGGTCCGCAGATCCCACCGGAGGTACCACTTTCCAGTGCTAGAACAGCAGGCCCTTAATAATTCATTATAATAATAATAATCATAATAATATAATAATAATAATAATGATAATGATAATGATAATAATGATAATAATAATAATAATTCATATAGATTACCTACTACTGGTTGATATTGAAACGATCAAAGTCTCTGTGCGTTTCATTCTGTTTCTTTAACGAACAATGTTTTTTATTGTTACTTATTATTTCGTTTTTTTTTTTGTTTTTTTTTTCGATTCATTTTTTTCTGATCTATCGTTCTTGTTCTCTATCGTTAGATTTTATTTTTTTTTTTTCTTTTTTTTTTCTCAACCGTCCATTTTTTACTTATTATGTTCCTCTCATTTTCTTGTTTTCACTTGTTATTTTTTTTTTGCCACCAATTTTTTTTTCTTTTTTATCGTTTACCGAATGTCTCTTTTCGTTCATTCGTTTATTTGTATATTTTATTTTTATTTTTGCGTTTTTTTTCAATTTTTTTTTTTTTCTTTCAATTCCGTCTGACATTTTTCACTCTTCGACTCGTGCCGACTTTGTTTTCTCATGTGTTCAAATGAATACCGAGCAGCCCTGTCGAACTATACGCACGGCGCCCGCGTAACACGCGTGCACGCGCCGCGCGTTCTCCGCGCGATGCGTGCACGCGCTTACGTGCACGTGTTTCCGTTCTTTTTTTTTCGACTCGATTGCATATTATTGGATTACATTTGGATTGTCTGTTGGGGGCGGATTCTTTGCGGATTCATGCGGCCCGATTAATTAACATGCGGCGGCGCAGCAAGAGGGAAAGAACGGAGTCTCGCGGCATGCGACGATCGTTATACGCAGATTCTTTTTTTTGTGTATCTGGCCAAACTCCCTAAAGCGGTATCCGTTCACGGAGAGACAAAAGAAAAAAGAATGTGAGAAAAAAGAAAAAAGAAAAAGATGAAAGAAATGTACGTTGAACGAACGAACATAGATCGACTGTGATTAATTCGAACGAGAGCGATGATGTACGATGATGAGAGCCTTAGGTACGGGATGTCTGGTAGAGCCCGAGGGATACTCGATTCCCGATCGTTTCCTCTTCACGATCATTTCCAAACCGGGACCGTTGCTGCTACCCCTCACGATCGAGACGAATTTTTGGTCCAGCGAGAACTCGCTGCTGGTAGATCCTCGACGTCCCTTCGCCTCTTTCTAGCATTCTCACGAACGATCGCAATTTTTTTCTCATGATCGTGGACGGTAAGTGAATACACTCTCTCTGATTGTGAAATCCTTTCCGTTGTCCCATCCGAAGGACGTCGATCGGAGTATGCGAATACACTGAAAAAAGCAGGCGTGAAACTTGCAAAGTCTAATTCTCGTAGGGGTTGTTAGTCGATTACGATTGCCCTGTTGGAAATCGAAATTTAACCGTAAGCAAGATCATCTCGCGATTATCTCGCGTAGAAAGTAAAACACGGTCGAAATGATTTTTCTCAGTGTACGAGACCAGGCAAATTCCCTAGAGTTCGTTGGACCACGTGCTCTCGCGAATAATCTAACGTGTGTGTTCCGTTCGCCATAACACTCTTGACGGTTCTCTATCAGACACCCTGTATCGTAAACGTTCTTTACGATGAAAGTAACGATACGACGAATAGCGGTACAAGCGAGGGGGAGGGGAGTATCTAGGCTGTTCTTCTAGCACTTTAAACGGAAAGTAGGGACCCCAGTGTTACTGAAATATGCTCGAGCAAATGGCGACGATGCGTCGAACGAGCATATACTATATACAAAGCGCATACGAACGAGAAAAACGAGATTTTTTATTATTTAACCCGAACAAACCAAAAAAAAAAAGATCATATGACAGAAAGAAAAAGATACGAGCAAACAGTTACCAAAAAAATAAAAAAAAAAAAAAAAAAAGAATACAAACGAAAGATGCAAATTAGGGTGGCGGTAGTAGCATTAGTGAATCTCCTTTTTTTTTTCTTCTTGATTAAAAATAATTGTTTAGCCCACGGTTCATGCACAATTACAAATAGTGTTTGGTTCTCTCTCGGTAGTGGCACGCGCTAGGGCGAGAGGAACAGGCCAAGTATTATGAGTTGGCGCGACGGGAGAGACAGTTGCACATGCAGCTGTACCCTGACTGGTCTTCCCGCGCAAATACCAACCGAACTAAGAAGAGGAAGCGCAAACAAGACACAAACAGTGATCCTGGAGGTACCCACATGCCTCACTCCACACATTCTTACAAGCTCCCCCCGCCCCACGAACAGCAACAACAACTACAACTACTACTACCACTACTACTACTACTATTACTACTACTACTATTACTACTACTACTACTACTATTACTACTACTACTACTATTACTACTACAATTACAACACAGCCACAGAAATTTATTGAAATATTTCCCCCTTTTTCAACAGCCCCCCACCCCCTCATTATTACATATACTATTATATAATTATTATATACATTCTTATTGCTACACTACATTATGTTGCATGTTTTCCCCCCGTCTTGGGGTTTTGGGTCGATATATATACATATATATATTATATATATATACGATTATTATTATTACTATTATACATGCACACGCATATATACGTTCATATATACATATATATATGTAACTTATATTACATCTATTATTGTGTATGGTCTTTCGTAATTTTTGGTTCTTTTTTTCTTGGATAACGAACGAAACAAAAAAAAAAAAAAAAAAAAAAATAGAGAAAAAATAAGTAGAATACGAATAAAATAACACTCGCGTGAGCGGGCGTGCACGTACGCATGCGCACGTGCGTGCCTCCATGGTTTTCGACAGATTTCCATTATATATTGCTGTCAAATATATAACGGGAACCAAGTTAAATGGGACACGAGCGCATTCAGTACACACGTACACGCACATGACACAGCATTATTAATTATTAATTACGTATACAACTTTGGGGACGCTGGCCATCTTGCATTTTTACAGGGACCTATACTCCGCAATCAGACAATCCTAAGCGTTTTTAATTTTCACTCAGTCTCTCTGTGTTCACCTGTCTCTTTTCTTTACTTTTTTCTCTCTTCTTTTTCTTCTTTTCTTCCGCCTCTTCTCTCTTTCCACGTCTTTCTTGCGTCTCTCTTGCCTTTTCTTTACGTCTCATTTACCTTCTTCCGTCTTCTTCTTCTTCTTCTTCTTCTTTCACCGTTTCTCTCTTCTTCGTTACTTTTCTCTCTCTCTGATACTATGGTTTCGATTCACACCTCTCACCCCCTTCTCTGTCTTTCTTTTTTTTTTCGCTCGCCATCACCTTTGATCGTTTCAACATTGCCTGACGACCCCGTTCATTTTTTCTCTAATTTTTACATTTTTAATTTTCATTCGTTTTACTTTTTATTTATTTATTTATTTATTTTTTTTTTTATTTTGTTTCTTCGTATAACGATTGTAATTAAGTTCATCCCCTGCCCCCTTTTTTCTTCGTTTGGTTCTTTCTATGGTCACCTCTAATCAATCACTCAATTATTCTCGACCCTTACATGCGATTCGTTTCGTTCGCGACGCCCGAGCGCTCGGGCGTCCTTTTGTTTCTTCCTTTTTTTTTTTTCTTTCATTTTTTTCTTTTTACATTCATCTTTAATATTTATTGTCTAGAGCTTGCGTTTAATACAGATCACGACATTAATTGAGTAGATATGATCTTTGATCGTGTTTTTTACGCCGTTTTAACGTTTTTACGCTGCATGCCGTTTTTTACTCAGCTTGACAGAATATCTCTTTTTATTTTATTGTTTTGTCGATTCGCAGGGTCATTCTCGGAAGACTGCAATGCAATTCCGTTTCACGATGATTCCACGTTTGTTGCACAGTTTTTCGATCGACGTGCGCTCCACCGTCCATAAGTTACCCCGGACGCTTGTTGATTTAAAAGACGATAAAGCCATCGTTTACGGTACGAATGACGAATAAGCGTTTTCCATCGTTTACCTGCACTTTAAACGCGTCAACATTCCCGTGACTTATGGACGACGGTGCACAGAGACGAAGAAAACGGTAGCGGATGTTGACGTCTTCCGGGAAGGCCCTGCGTCACTGATATATTGTCAGATTTCTAGACCATTTGAGCTTGAAGATCGTCGGCTTAACTGCAAATCGCTTTGCGTTCGAAGAAATTCCAAGTTCCGTTCTGATAGAGATCATTAGACTTTCGCGTGGCGGATCAAGCTCAATCGGTCGCGATCGTTCTGTTGCACGCATGACTAGTTGACAAACGTGTCGAGTTCGTTCCGCGTTCTCGGCGATGCCTGCAACGAGTTTGCATCGTTTCACGCGATCATCGATAACGAGGCTTTCTGCACTTTGCAAAAAATACGATATACACGTGTAATATCTCACGAGTTAATCCCTAATATGGATCCGATCCGCGGGACAAGCTCTGTTCTTCCGTATCGTTCTACGATCGATCGTAGAACGATCCGCGGATCGTTCTGCAGCTCGGGCATCACTGTCAATTACCGTCATCCGTCCGACGAAACGAGAGAAATTCGACGATGTATTACATGTTCGTGTTATACGTGTACGATACGTAGAAAAAAGAAAAGGGAAAAAAGAAAAAAAAACGAAAGAAAGAAACGAAATAAACGCCACCCCAACCCTGTTCGCAGCGACGAAGGCTGTGCAACCCCGCTAATCGGTGCACGTTTCGCATTTTCTAGGTAACAACATGAAGAAGTGTCGCGCCAGGTACGGATTAGACCAGCAAAGCCAGTGGTGCAAGCCGTGCAGGTACGTGTGCATCGTGTAGAGGGTTTGACTCGTTGCTTCTTGAGAGGAGAATTATATACCGTCATGTCGACAAGCTGCGCACGCTGGTTCCGGTCGCGTGTACATACGTATTCGATCTTGAGAAGTGTTGAGAAGGAACTAGAAGTCTCACGTCGGGTCATAGTAGTGAACACTAGAGGAAGTTACTTTTCTTTATATATGTGGTGAATGATGGTGAACGATACGAAACGCGGGTTGCCGCTGTGGAGTATCCTCCATTATGGATTTTTCCCGCGAACGTGCCTCGAAATGGTAACCTCTTCGGAAATGGCTTCCTTTCGCAGCAAACTTTATACTCGCCTATTCGTTATCGCGTGATTTATTCGCGAATATTTCTTTTTCTTATTTCTCCCCGCGAGAAACGAGTTCTCGGGTCTCAAGATGGACGTAGATTGGTTCTAAAGCGGTGACAAAATGGAGGATACTCGAGCTCGCAGCCCGAGGCAACCGGGCACAGATGTAAAATACAGCAGTTGACCGATGGTAAATCGGGCCATCACGTTCGACTAAGAGACTTGCAACCCGGGCACGAAATATAGTATCTCTCGATTATCACCACTTCTTACCGTTATCGTCTTCTACTCCGTTCCGTCATCCACATGTTATCGTGGAACTTGAAAAAAGAACGAAAGTAACATGCCTGAACGAAATTATTCGAAATCCCGTCGCGAAACTTGCAAAAATTCGTACGCCAGTGGGGCGCCACACCGCGGGGTGAAAGTTACGCGACGAATCCTCGAGTTCGAGTCCTCGCGATGAAAATCTAGCTTGTCCGTCGTCGATTTTCTCGATAATGAAAAAAAAGAAAAAAAAGAAAAAAATTAAAACACGGAGAAAAGAATAGCAAAAGAGAGTAAAGAGAAAGAAAGAGAAAGAAACGAACTAAAAGCGACCGTCAGAAAATGTGTCTTCCAAAGAAAAAAAAGAAAGAAAAAAAGAAAATAGGGAAAGTAGTAACAGAATGTACGAGAAAGATGTTTAGAAAGAACAACGAGATGTAGAATATAGTCGGAAAAATGAAAAAAGAGAAAAGAAAAATGAGAAAGAAAAATCGGATTTTTCTCGCACGCTGCTGGATCGATCCGAAACGACATCATCCACTTGTACTTTGCTTGTAAATATCTCTACTAGATACCACACTGTAGTTTATTGCGGCATCACGAGCCACCCGTTTTAGCGCCACTATAACTTCCGTTTCTCACTGTACGTAATCGCACAGTGCCGCCCAAACGCCCCAACTCCCGGCTGGGTTTGTGAATCTCATGGACCTCATTAAAGGGGCGATGAACGAATCCCAACCACTGTTTCTCTCGTGAAATTTCATCTTCCATGCTTGATTATCGTATGCATTAAAAGATAACAGAGAAATAAAAATAAAAGAAAAGAGCATAAAAGTTCCTTGACTTGATCTACATAGAAGCAAAGCTCGAGCTTCATACTCGATCGCGCTAACTTCAAAGAATCGTTGTTCGTCTCCGCAAATTTTCACTGGGATTCGAAGGCATTTCTAACAGACACGTGGAATGCATCGCTCAGAGGGTATTCGACACAGTGGCGGAAGCTTTCATGATACATGGACCAACTTGGGAGACATATTTTCTGATCAGACAGTGCAGAATCGCTGACACTCTCGGTCGGATCGCCTCGTTCCGCGACAGACGTCGAGTTTCTTCCGATATTCTCGCGCGTTGCTCGTCGAAGAGCCAGGACAGGGTCTCTCCGGATCACCTCGATCTTCCGTATCCGCGAGATCGTCGCCGGAGAACCGGAGGACCCCCTGGTACCTCGAACGCAACCACCTCTCGTCGCGGCTCGCGCTCTTGATGGACCTCTGGTAATCTCTAGCAACCTCTGGTACACTCTGGCAAACTGTGGTGAACCGTGTGTAGCAAACGGAGAAGCGTGTAAATCGCGAGGAAAGAGGGCGAAAGAGTGGCGAGCGAGAAATCGCTGGCAAGCCGCGAGTCAGCTTACTCGCGTGTCCACGGACTCGGGCCGATGCGTGTGGGTGACGACGATACGGTGTGGGATTAAGGTGGGATTAAAGTGATAACGTCGATGCGACGAGCGCCCCTTTAATGGCTGGTGGTTGGTTTTGGCAGCCCAGTGGAGCATGGAGCGGGGATGGGCATCCACGCGAGCATAATCCATCACGGTGTGGGAAGTAGCGCGGGGGCAGGGGTCGGGGCTGGAGGCGGTGGAGGGACGGTAGGGGCAGCGACTGCCCCTCCAAACACCAACACTGCCTCCAATGCCTCCTCGCCTCAGCAAGAACCCACTTATGTTAATCTCTAGTCAAGCCTATCGCCTCCCTTCTACTGCAACACTTCTTCTTAAACAGTGGTCAGTCCCGACTTAAACCTACGGGCGTAGCTGGCCCTCGCTATGCTCAGCCAACTCTGCTCGTTGCCCGTGAAAGATAGGGAAAAGGAAAGACGAATGGGAAAAGATAGAGACAAATGGTGAGGAGAGGAGAATGGAATTCTAGTAGTATTACTTTCATGGGGGGATGTACGTGCGGCAATTTTGCTATCGGTAGATCCCGATGATCTACTAAAAGGTATTCTCTGATACCTTTTCCGTTTTTTTCTCTTCTTCTATTTTTTTTTTTTTTTTCTTGTTTTTATTATTATTATTATTTTCGACGTGTTTACCTCGCGTTTATCTCGTGTTTAACTCGTACGATACGCGTGTATGTACTCGTTTTGGGTTTTTGGGAAGAGTAAGAAAGGGGAAGTGAGTGCACTTGCGGTGGTCGACACGAGCGGGCTGGCATAGTGAGCGGCACAGCGACGCCCTAATGCTCGCATTGTTTCTCATTGTTGTGGCTCTTTGCAGCTTATTATTGTTACATTTGATTTACCCTCGTTTAGTTGGACTTTACTCAGTGTTGCCCTTAGCATGGCTGGTCTGTAATACATTATAATACATCTGTATGTATATATTATATATATAGCGTCTGTGTTTATATATATAAATATATACGTTGTTGCGTACGTCTACTACGTGTAACCAAGATTACTCTCTGTTTACAACAAACATTCTTTTTGTTTACTGTTATGTTGTTCGGTTCGGAACGTTTGGCTATAGAGAAGTATACAATATACGTATAATATACATATTATATGTATATATATTACTTATATTTATTATAAATCTGATTTTAATGGCATGGCAGTTCGTGTACGGTAATTATTACGACGATTAATGTGTTGGTAACGGATATGTTGGATCTTCTTTTCTTTTTTTTTTTTTTCATTTTTTCTCTTTTCGATTTTATTTGTTACCAAGTTCGTAAAACATGGTTCCGTTTCATTCCAACTTTTGATCTTGTTCTTTTTTTTTTTCTCGAACTATTTTTGTCTCTTTTTTACCTTTTTGGCGTTTTCTGTTACTCTATATGTTACTTTTAGTTCTCATCTGTTGGTTTCTTGTAATGTCGTAAGATATAACTGTTGCATTATAAGTAATCGTGCAATGGCCGCGCGCGGTGTGTTTCGACTCGAGACGCCGCCGTCTGTGCGCCCGGTTCAGTGGAACTGGACGTTCGGTGATCAGACCAAGTCTCGAGGAAGCTCGTAGCAGCGCTCGTACGATCTCGAGGTTCGATTGATCGCATTTTCAAAAGTTCCATCGCGCGGTCTCTTTCGCTTCGTAGAGGCTTGAACGAGTTTCGACATCGATTCGCGCTACCGCGTCCAGCTGCTGGCTATTTGGATGGCAAAAACCGCGGAGTCGCCTCTGACAGATTTGGATCCGAGGTACACGCATATTTTCCACGAAGGATCAACCGTTTAAAATTGGAAAAAATTCGAACAAACCATGAAAAAGAGAACAGATTCGAAAAATTCGTCTTCGGAACTTTTAATTTCGTCGAATTTTTCGCCAAATTTGTCAGAAAAATAGGCAAAGGGTTAAGCACCCACTGCGACACATGCGCGTGTGTCGCTGGGTCTCGAGATCTTCGACGTATTTTTTTTTTTTTTTTTTTTTCCTCTTTTTTTTTTTTTTTATCGACGGCTCGCTACATGCTTCAGCTCTTTTTCAGATGGTCTTTGAAACAATAGGCTGAAGCGAGCACGGAGAGAAGATAGAAGAAACGTATAGAAAGAATAGCCAAAGACGCATAAGTGGGGGGGGTTCATTTTGTAGCGGCCTCGAGCGATCGATTACTTTCGAACGAGCTATAGCAAATCCTTTGTCCGCGAAAAGTTGACAAACGTCGAATCGAGTCGATCGGTCTTATCTTTTCTTTTTTTTTTCTTACGATCGCGAGCAGCTGGACGACCGGTGCGAATCGATGAGGATCGAAGTACGCAGAGATTCGATCTGACGCTTTTTGAATCCAGACGTGCCTGCGAACAGTTGACGTCCTGCCCCGAATAACCGTGATATATTTTCTTCACGTACCGAACACACGAGAGAAAAGAAAAAAGAAAAAAAAAAAAAGAAAAGAAACGATTAACTGGCTAAGAGATGAATAATGAGAGCCAATGGCAGAGCGATAGATGTCTCGACTGCGATGCAGTTAGCACACGAGGTCGGTCGGGCTCACTTTTCGGGAACTTTGCAGTAGCAAAAATCGTACAGAGATGTACATGTCCTTTCTCGTTTCGCGTTTCGATTCAACGAAGGAAGAAAGATTTCTCGCGGTCGAGAAGCGCAGTACGATCGGTTGTCGTCTCTCTTTTTTCTTTCTGTTCGTTTCCATTTTTCATTTCCGTTCATTTTCTTCCATGCAAGTCGGGCAAACGAGAAAAAGCAAAGAAAAGGATTAAAAAAAGGAAAAAAAGAAAAAAGAAATAGAAGAAAAAAGAAAAAAGATTTTGCCGTGATCGATCGAGAAAGACAGAAAGAGAGCGTGCCACTTCGCTGATGAAAGTTCCAAGTTCCACGTAACATTGATCGCATTGATTCACGCGGGCACTTTCGCGACTTTCTTCGTCTAGAGAGAAAAGAAATAAAGTAAAGAAAAGAGAAAAAGAAACGAAGGAAAAACGGGAAAAAATTCGTAGACTGTCCCGCGGGCCTTTTTCGCAGCGTGATTCCGCGATCGTTTTCCGGAAGACGCGATACGAAACATCGTTAAACGCTGCTCGGGACACGTAGTTCTCGCCTGCGGATCAAAACTGCGTCTGCACCTATCCAACAACCCCACCCGCCCACCCTTATGCCCATTATGAACTTTTTGAGCATGGCATTTGCAGCGAGTGATTCCGTGTCGAAGAATAAGATACCAAGACTAGCCGCGCAGAGATCTGACCAATCGTTCGTTCGCGATCAACGGACTTGTCTCGTTTCTTAACACGTTCGTTAACCAATTCCACCGTTCGTCACAGACTCGGAAAACTCGTAGATCCGACACTCGATCAAAGACTCGGCAACGAGCGTGTTAACGAAGGCTTTCGCGATATTCGATCGGAAAATCGCGAGAAACAAAGGAAAAGTGCACCGATCTCTGAAACGAAGATGTCTGCGCGGTTAGTTCTGCTACGACCACGAGTGACCGCATGTTCTTTTAGTTGGTATAATACTTCTGGATGTAACCTTCCACGGGTAGCTTCGAACGTCGCTTCTGTACCCTATGACGTTTCATAGCTAATGATTCGTGATGATTGCGACGAATTTAAAAATGAAAAAGATACGAGAAGGGATGAAACGGAAGCAACGTTCGAGGTCCCTAGACTTTACGTAACCACACTCCACCACCTAACCCTAAAGCTCCCGGAGCGTTAAAAGCTAATCTCGGACCGCTTGTTCGCAGACGTAAGAAGAAATGTATCAGATACATGGGGGAGGGAGGAGACGGCGACGGCGAAGCGGACGGCGAAGGCGAGGACGATCATTCGGAGGACAACCTCGGCAGCGTGGGGGAGGCAGGCACTCCCGAGGAGGACGAGTCCCTGAGCAGTCCCGGGGGTTTGTCCGCGTTGTCTAGTCTGGCTAGCCCGTCACTGGTGTTACCGTCGCCCTCGAGCCTGGCCAGCCCGTGTCCCTGTCCTCTGACGCCCCCGGTGCCGCCTCCGCCCCTGTCCAACCCGACCAGCCAGCCGCACAATCAGCCGGTGCAACCGCCGCCGCCGCACCGTAACCCGGTCGGCACCAATCCCCACGATATCAACAATCCCCTTAGCGTGAACCAACTGACCGGACAGTGTATAAAGAGTGAAGTGGTGTCGGCGCCGTCGGGCACGTCTAACCCGGCGATCAGTGTTACGTAGCCCCGGCCGGAACCACATGACAAGGCTGTTGCTGCCACCGCGTGTGTCGTCAACAGGGTCCGTGTACGTGTTGAACAGACGAGGTGCTGGACGATAGGAACGGTTACTGTCGCGATCCGGGCGAGCACGGGCACGCAGGGAGCGGCGGGGTGCTACTGGCTCTTGTTGTTGTCGTTCTTCGTTGGGATCCTCGAGGGTTGGAAGTGCGGGCTGAGAGTGGAGCAGGAGGATGGTACCACGATGGAGGAGGAAACAGAGGTTTGTAGTCGGACCGAGGGAGCGGGAGGTTCGAGGTGGTCGTCGGAAGGGAAGACCGCGAGAAGAGACGGAAGAGGATCGTCTTCGACAGTGGAAGGTGGCTTCAATCGGCGACAGGAGGGAGGAAGCTGAGGAAATTTGCTGGTTCCTCGGGTAATCGTGTCCAGCCTCGAGATGTTCGTTCGCCCGGGGCAAACCCAGTGTCCGGAGTCGACGTGAATTGAGGGAACTGGGGTAGAAGGACGTTATCGCGTGTAACGAACGAAAGAGTGAACGAATATATGTACGGACAAAGCGAACAAACGAATGAGAAACGAGGAAAGCGGATGAGAATACGATGCAGAAATACTCAGGACCAAGTGTCTGGCTGTAGTCACCCACTCGAGAGAGCAAGATTGCCAGTTCGTGTGTCGGAGAACGCGAGAGGGAGAGAGTCAGTCGTGGATGATAGGATTGCGTGTACCTATGAATGCGAGTATCCGTGTGTGTGTGTGTGTATGAGGGAGAGAGAGAAAGGGAGAGAGTGAAAGGGTGAGATATGGGTGAAAGGCGCATACAGGGTGACGATAAAAGTGCGCGTGACACAGCTTGTAGTCCTTGTTACGTTGTGATGCCAATGACTGAGAGGTCATGTTCCTGTGCCAGGTACTATATTCTATAAAGTAATTATACCGCAGACGTATAACTAAAGGTAAAACGAGCAAGCAAGAACGAACGAACGAAAGGATGAAGAAAATGCGATGTATACGTGTGCGAGAGAATGAAAGACGACGTAAGGATGACGAGAAGCAGAAGAAGAAGCGAGCAAGAGAGACGATGCGTCCGAACGCGAGAGAGAACGAGACGATTTCTCGTCGTTCATTTTATTCGACCTCACGGTGTCAAAATACCTATTCTTCTGTACGTAATTTGTTATTTTTTTAAAAGTCTATACACACACACACTGTGCGATTGATTAGCGTGTAAGGTCTCTTTTCTCTTCTTTTTGTAACCGCGAAACCGCTCACTTAGGCCCCCTTGTTTCGTCCATCTTCACCGTTACACCCCCTCGTCCCATTTCTCGCGGTTTTCAGCGGAATCGCGACAGCGTGACGCGATTGACAGTTGAGCAAACCGAACCTATCCCATCCCATCTCATCTTACCTCCATCGCGTAATAATAACCAGCCATCTAGATCAAATCTCAGGAATCTTATCCGAACTCGACGACCGGACCACGATTTCTCCATCGTGAACGATCCCCTTCGATTTTCGACCACGTTCCTCTCGCGTTAGTGTCAATATCCAGGGACAAGAAGCGAAATGGAGAAGACTGGAGGAACGCGCGCGAGCACGCGCCACCCCCGCGCATTCGAACTGTATCGACCAAGACAATAACGACGAGACTGTTCTGGCGTCGAACGCGCGATCCAGAGCTTCCATTAAAACGTGTCCAAAGGGTAGACGTGTGCTCGACTCTGTTCCTCTTCGTCGATCGTTCACGATCGAGGCTCCAGCCGGGTGGAGACAAGTACAGCGAACGCGTTGCATTATTTATCGAGCGTCGTCCCGATCGAGCGAAGATCGTTTCTTCGCGCGTTCGCTTCTTCCCTTGATTCGTTGCTCTCGCTCCTTTCCCGTCCTTGCTTTTCATTTTCCTCCTTTTTATTTTTTCGTTTCCACTTTTTCTTTCCTTTTTCTTTCCCTTCTGCGTATTCGTTCTCCGATTTTCCCGCGCCACGTGTCGCGTCGCGTCCACGAAGAACGGAAGAGCTAATCGAGTTTGTCCCCGCGACGTCCCTCGATTTGGGATCGATGAAATGAAGATCAACGAAGATCAATGGAATTTTATTTTTTCTTTTTGCGTTCGTTTAATTGTCTTTTATTTTCTTGATTTTTTGCAAAGAACGGAAGTCGACGATCCCCAGTCGAGGGACAAAAGAGAGTCACCTGTCGAGCGACACTCTCTCCCCCGAAATCTTTTGAGCGTGTTTATAGCGGAAATTTGGAAACTCGTCGATATTATTTGGTGATTGTGATTATGGCGTGACTAAATGTCTGTTCACACGGATGGTTGGAGTTACCCCTGTGCTCCTTCCGTCCTATTGTAATAACGCGTTGTTTTACGTGTAATTAAGCGGCAATACCGTTGTTGTTGTATAGCGGAATGATTAAAAGAGAAGGGAGAAATATTTTTAGTCGATCGTGCGCTCGCTATTTTTTCTTTTTTTTTTCTTTTACGTTTTATTATTATGATTCTCTTCCTTTCTTTTATTAGTCGCGCTTCTGCGTTCTCTTTGAATTCTTGTTACCGTGGAACAAATGCGCGAAGCGAGTCGAGGATTTCGCGTACGACTGCGAGTATATCACGACGTTCCGTTTGTATCTTTCATTTTGTTATTTCTTCGTTATCTCCTTTTCGCATTGTAATCGAGATTCGCAGACGGTGATGATTATTCGCGGAGTGCGCAGAGGAAATAGGCTGATCGTTGCGTAATTTCCAGTTTTACATTGCTAATTTTCACGCGATTTCTTTTAATACCTTTTTCCTCGTACGTTCGACGCGTCGATCGCGAATAATCGCTTTAATTTGCGAATTAAAGATCGTTTTTTTTCCGTTTAACTTGGCGATCGACGCGTTGAACGCGGATTTATTCCGTTCGGTCGAGTCTCGATTACGTCGATCGCCATTCGATTCCGCGAAATTGTTCTCATGAAAGGCCGTTGCGAAACGCTTCTTTCCTTTGCATCGCGTACGCGTCCTGCGTGAATCCTCGATGCAATCTCTTCCCGCCGAGGGGGCCTGGAACAGAGGTGAAGGAAATCAGAGGAGGAGGAGGAGCAGAGCGAAGAAGGAAACGAAGAATCGAAGCACGCGCTGGATAAGAGAAAAATGTCAACCCCCTCCTTCGAGCTATCGAACATTATTTTTCTTCCCCCTTTTTCTCGTGCGTTTTCATTAGCAGAGCAGCTCTTGTGTACATAAGATAGAGATACGTTTTTTTAAAGGTGCATTTGTTGCGTCGAATGGGAAAGTGCAATGGAGGACTGTGACGAAGAGGAATAGGAAGAAGAAGAAGAAGAAGAAGAAGAAGAAGAAGAGGAGGAGGAACAAGACGAAGAAAAAGAAGAAGTCGAAGGCGAAGGAAAATAGAAAAAGAGATGCGTTATGCCGCGATGTGGAAGTCACGCGAGCGTGTCGAAGGGAGAAAATAAGAAAAACAGAGGGAACGAGTGTGTATGTTTGTATGCATGTGTACGTGTGCGCGCGAAACGAAAAGAAACATTAAAGAAATGGTTTTTCCCTTCTTTCTTTTTCTCTCCCCACCTTTTTCCACTTTATTTCCCCCCCTTTTTTCCACGCGTTGTACCCCCTGCCCCCTTCTGTTTCCACGTTTCTTCTCGATAAAACCCGACTGAACTGAAGCGACCACGATGCCTGTGTAGCGAGAACGTGAGATAAAAGAAAAAGGAAAGCATGTAACACGCGTCAAACCGAACATTTAAACTGAACGTGCCATAACGACATCATGCCAATATTATCGATATAATACAATACTTTTTTACGATTACGATCCGTTTCGAACTCTCGAAGCCTCCTCTGTCAGTCGTGCCAGAATGGTTGTTGCGCGTTCACCACGGGTCTAAGCCTCTTGGTTCTTTTGCCGCGTTTTTACCTCGGCCACCGGTTCTTCTCTCCCTTCATTGCCTCGTTCCCTCTCGATCGGACGCCTCTGCACGCGATCCTCGCATTCTAGCGTCACGAATCCCGAAGGTTCTTCGAGATCCAGCCACGATCCGGCTACCGCGCTCGGACTAATAAACGCTTCCTAATAATCCCCAGGGTTGGTCCAAGGTTCATCACACTTGGACGAACCATCGCGAGACACGCGGCCTTCGTCGATGCTTCGATACATCCAGGGGGTACCATCGCGGTACCGTCGCGGTCATTTCTATTTACGTCTATTTACGGTCGCGATTCTCTTTGGTACTCGCGTTCGTTGGTCGGTGTCGTTTTGGAACGAACACCTGCAGTCGCAATCACGACTTGATACGATAGTCATCAGACCTGTCAATTTGTCGTAAATCAGTTTATTTTATCCAAACGAAGCATTGTGTTCCGATAACATCTCGACACCTGGTCAGCGAACGTCAAAGATCTCGACCGTGAATAACTTTGTCAAAGATACTCGTATCTTCTGCCGATCTTTCACGATTTTATCCGTAAATAGACCACCGATCTGTATAGGTGTTCGATACTGTCCCGAATTATTCTATCGAGGTATTACTTAAAGTAAAAAATTGAACCGCCGTCTCGAAGACTCTTCTTGTAAATCGTGTGTAAGACCAAGAGAATACAGAGGCGAGGGATAGAACAATGGGAATGGCGGCGGATCGAGGGCCGATCGAGCGGACGAGGCGTCAAACGAGCGAGTACGGGCAAGGACGACCAGCGGTTCACGGAACGAGCGCGAGAGAGGAAGAGAGATAGAGCGAGCGAGAAAAGGAGGACTACCGATTGTACTGACAGACGTTAGCCACAAAGAAAAGACTCGTTAAGCCGTGCGATGATGTATTATTCCGCGTGTGTGTATGTGCGTGTATGCGTGTGCGTGTTGGCCGAGCGCGTGCGTGTGTGCGTGAGACGTTGATGACTGCTGTGCGAGCCGAGTTGCGGGGGCAGAGATCGTACGAACGACGGTGCTCGGCTCTACGCCAGATAGACAAGCATTTAAACGCATTTCCTCGCACGTCGACGTTGCATCGAACAGAATAATCCTTGTATCGCGGTGGACGTGTCCACGAAATCGTCCTGACTAGCGTCCAAACGCTCGAGGACTCGCCGATTCGTTCTCCGTATACGATTCTTCGAAAAGACGAACCCTGAACGCGACGTATGAGATTCAAGATCGGCCACGATCTACGCGGTCGGAAGACGAGTCCTCCGGGAAACGCGTCGAGAGTCAGAACGATCTTTTACCGAGTCAGACCACCGAGCTATCGGTTATTCAAACATTCTGCCCGTGTAACTCGGCGTTAATTCACTTTGAGAGGAACGAGACGACGTCACGAGGGTCCGTCGTGGTCCCCACGAGTGGTCAGGGACGAGGAAGCTATTCTCACCGAGTGTGACGTTTCACCGTGAGAGATGAGGGCGATCCGAGAGGTTCCAAGTTCTCGTGGTTATGGAACAAAGTGATCGTCGACGAAAGCGATCGCAGACGTGTGGAATAGCTTCCGGGATCCGCTTGTAAACACGGCCTACAGACCGCGTGAGACGTCATACGAAGAGTCACTCGGGAACGCCCTGGCCGTGGCCGATTGGCGAACCGTGCTCTTGCTTTTCCTCGAGGATGGGAAAAGGAAGGTGGTTCCGGCGCGGTTAGGCTCGTCTCGCTTCAAGGAGTGCTTGTAACATATTGTAAAGTATCACCGACAGTTCTCAGCTGCGTTGTACAGTGTTTTCTAAGTATCTAGTTTATATAGCGTGTAATTGAAGAGGATACATTGTATTTACACTAAATAAGTGATCTGTATCAAATTCATTCTCGTATAGCCTGTACTCCTACTCATTGTAGATGCTAAAAGTGATTTGTGTCATAAAGAAACCTATAAATAAAATTAGCAATTTGAGAATGTTGTCGACCGCGTGGATTCATTGTCTGTTTCACCTACTGCTTGCCCGTTCTTTGCACCGAAATCAAAATGGCCGCCCGAGACGCAACTTCCGTTTCGAGCCAAGCTTACACGAGCAGAACCGCTTCAGGTCGTGGCTAGATTCCGCAGGGTTAGCTTGAACCACTGACCGATTTTCGGACAAAGAACGGCTTAACACGTAATACAGGGTACATTTTTGCTACGATTGTAGAGAGATTATCCATCGTGGAGTCGCGAAAGCGACGCGTCAGGTCGAATCAGGAGAGAGTAAGCGAAGAATGGATTGAAAGTTGAATAAAAAGTACTAGTCTTCTGAGAATGCTTGTTTTTCTTCAACAATTACGACCCACCTCAACGTTCTGCTATCGTTAATAGCTCCATTATTCGATTCGCTTCATCGTGGACTTCGTCAAACTCGAATTAATTAATCATAAATACCAAACGAACAACGTCACGCTCGAGAAACATACTGGAACTTTATTACGATATAACGTCGGGACCAATTTTTCGCTTCGGGCTGAAAACGATACAAAAATTAGGATCTTGCATTGTCATTGTATACACTTAGGCGGGCATCCGGTCTTCGCGTCGGAGAAGAAGTACAAACTCAACACGTTCACGGCGTTCAGAGTGTACACGTTCGGTGTCTTTAGGTTGCAATTCGTCACAAACACCGTGGCCATCTTCATTATACTCTCGCACTTCATGACACAGGCTGCCCCATCGAAACTGGGCCTGCCCTGGTCGTTCCTCGCGCAGGGATCGAACAAGTAAAACTTCCCGTAGTGTTGCATCACCGCGACCGCCATATTGGTCGTGTGCAGTATCCCGGCGCAGTTTGATCGGAAAATGTATAGTAGCTCTAAAGTCACCCACGATGAAGACGGTGAGTAATTCGCTGGGGGATAAATTCCTGTTCCCTGGGTGAGTAGCCCGAACGCTGTCCGAGTGCAGCAGGTCCCCGTATCTCAAAATGGCGTCGATTAGCTCGGGTGTCCAAGTAGAAGGCACGTGCAGAAGACCCACGACAATGGCTACAGCTGCGATCGCAGTGCTCTGGAAGCCTCTTCTGTCTGTACTCCAGATTCGATGATGCATGTGCAGAGTACCGCGAAGGACACTGAGCTCCTCGTCCACGATATTGTATTCCGTCACTGTCTCCACGTCCAGCGTAGTGTTCATCTTCATGAAGGTGATCGGAATCGGCGGAGCCGTGCAATCGAAGAAAGGTCTGAAGCCAGCGGGACAAGGCAAAGGTTCGATCATGGCAGTCCTGATGATAACCCTGCAGAGCTCGTAGCGACCATACTTCTCCTGCTCGTCGATGTTGGCGAACAGAACTTCGTAAAGAGGCTCTATGCAAGCGAACCACATGACGCAAGAGGTGCCATAGAAGTCGGGCAAGCCCTGATCGCTACGTGCATGAGGGTCGTACATGAAATAGACTCCCATATCCTTCCAGATGGCCACCGCGCCACGATCGGTCACCAGAATCCCTGCACGGTTGTTCTCGAAGAACAGAGGTACGCCCTGTTCGAGGAGGATCGGCGGCGGAGGTGGAGCTCGAATCCTCTGAGGTCTCCTGCTCCTGGTCCTCCTGCCCCTGGCTCGTCTTTGACCTCGTCCTTTCTTCTTCTTCTTCTTCTTGTCTTCTGGTTCTGGTGGGGGAATCGATACTATACCAGCTACCGTAGCTGACTCTATGTCGGCTGTGAGGATGTTAACTCCCACGTAGAACACTCTGATGATGTCCTTCGGTTTAACGCGGACTATCGTTGGCTTGGCCTTCTGCGTTTCCCTGTGAACGTTGGTACCAATCGCCAGAATCTCGTCCATCGTCTTCTTCGTCCAAGTAACCGGATTCTTCACCACGGACATCCCTAGAGCGACCACGCAATTGGCAGCTCCTTGCTTGTTCCGTAGCATCTCCGGGAAGATCTCGTCACCCTGGTGGTAACTACCCCTTAGAATCGCTCGAGCTTCGCCGTGAACTCTCCTATAGGCATTCAGAGGAGGCAGGTTCGAAGGACGAACGGCGGAACTGGGATCGAACTTCCATGGGGGAAGCTTGTTCCAATTGACTACGTCGATGGCGATCATTTCGTAGTCCCCTTCGCTTCCCAGGAAGTTCTGGAGGTATTCTATGAAAGTGTCAAGGTTGACAAAACGTAGCACTTTAGGTCTCACTAGCGTGGTCTCGTCTTTGGTGGTCGCCCAGTCGGGTATCAGAGCGTAATAGGCGCTATTGAACTTCCAAATGGCTATGTTCCTGTCCCTACCGACTGTCAATGCTCCCGATTTATATTTGGAAAAGAAGTTAGTAATCCCAGTCCTGAGATCTTGAACTTTCGGTGGCTTGGCAGTCAAGCTTCCAGCCTCGACGCAGTCGTTGATGCTCAAATTAATCCGACGAGTAGAAAGGAAGAACTCTGTCATGATTTCGTTGATCCTCGGAGTGACTCCTTCTCCGAGTCTCTCCACGCACTTGGAGTGCAATTTGTCCCCGGTGACTATGACCTGGTCGAGCACATCCTGCGTCCAGTACCTCGGCTCGTACACCTTCGCGAAGACGATGGCCATCACAGCAATGGCAGCGGCTTGGTTGTTCCGGTTGACCTTCTCGAACTTCATGTCCCCCATGCCAATCGTGCCATCGATGCTCCACACGCCGTCAGTCATCTTGGTGAAATGATACCACGGATTATCTCCGGAACTAGGCTTCGTCTGACGTTCCTCTTCAGCCACTCGCGTCTCGTAAGCGTTGTCTAAAGTGACAACGTCCAGGACATAGTCTTCGCCAGTGGCAACAGCCTGAATCGCTGCGGCCAATGACGGAATGTCGGTAAACCACATCACTGCAGCCGCGCCATCTTTGTCTCGAGGTTCTCCCCTGGAGTCCCTTCCTTTTGGATCCATCGTGAAGAACGCGTCGGCCTCTCTCCAAATGGGCATCATGATATTGTCCTGTCTGAATATACCCATTACGTTCGTCTCGAAGAAAGTTTCCAGCTGCGTTGCCAAGTCGGTCATCTTGCCGGTAGCCGTTTCTTCTTCCAGGCTGACGTATATCCGATTCACTCCAACAGCGAAATCCTCGCTGATTTCACTGGGAATAAGGTAAGTCCTTGGCGCCTCCTCTTCCGTCTCACCTCCTTCTGCGAGATTCTCCAGGTTGTCAGCGGTGATTTTGTCACCTATCTTGAGAATGTCATCGACCACTTCCCTGTACCACAAGTGGGGGTTGTAGAGCTTGGTCATTCCCAAAGTTGCCAAAGCGCTTCCAGCTTGTTGCTTGTCCCTGGTGTGTCTCTTGAACATCACCTCGTTAGCCTGGTTGAAGCTGCCCAATAAAATGGCGCCGGTATCCCCCATGTTGTGATAATTGTGCAGGTCAGGCTTCACCGGGACCTGCTTGTCCGCTTCGATTTCTTCCTCGGTCATCTCGGACCCAATCGAGACCACCTTCGTATTATGAATCGAGAATTCGTTTCCGGATTCTGGATCCTGACCAGCATTCGTCTCTATTATCTTCGCCAAGACGGACGGGTCCAAGGTTCTAATCACGCAGGCTGCGTTTAGTTCCTCCTCCTCCTCGATCGACCACAGACCCTCCTTGTTCCGGGGATGAGGATCGAAACAATAGTACACGTTCTGCGGGACCATTTCGTCCTTTTCCTTCACCTGTTCTTCCACTTTCCACACGGCTACGCTCATGTTCTTCACGCCCACGATACCGTATTGATGCTCTTCGAAGAACTGCTTCAGGGCTGCGTCCAGATTCGGAACGTCGCTACCAGCTGACGAAGTCAGGTCTCCGACGATCGTGCCTTCTTCTACGTCGATCTTCACTTTCCTGTTCTTGAAGTACAGGTTCTTCTTCAGGTTCGGCACGAAGAAGTATCGCTCGACATCCTCGCCCACTTCGAGCACTGGGTTACACCAGCTATAGTACGCGTCTCCTTCTCGAACCACGGTATCGACAGTCTCGCTGGTCCACTTTTGGGGTGCCGTCTCTTTGGCAGCGATCAGAGCCACCACTGGCATAGCCAGTCCCTGAATTCCTCGAGTCTCGTCTTCGAATTCTTCTTCGTCCTCGTTCGATATAGTACCCTGAAGAACCCACGTCTCGCCGGGTGATCCTGGCTGGAAATCGTGCCACGTCCTGGTCCCAGGAATGTCATCCACGATGGTAATGTGTCTGATGGTAAAACGATCATTCTTCTTCGCGTGTTCCATGTTCTTCAGGAATAAAGCACCCAAGGCGTCGGTGTTAGGGAACCTTATCACACAGCAGTTTCCCTTCTTTCGTTGCGAGTTCTCGGCCTTCGCGCCCTTCCCACCCTTCTCCTCTCGAATCCTCACGCCAATCATGTCACACTGACGGGGATCGAACATGTAGAAACAGTCATCCTGACTCCAGATCGCCACGGACATGGAGGACGACTCGATTACTCCTTCCGTGTTGACCAGGAAGAACTCTTCCAACGCTTGTCTCAAGTTCAGCACCGTTGGGATCTTAGAAGAGATCGTACCGGTGACTGTAATTAAATCCACGTCTATGGCTAGCTTCCTCCCCTCCACCTCGATTTCTATGTCGTTTAAATCAGGAGCAGTCATATTCCTCATCATCGGCTTGGCAGACTTCACATCGGCGTACACCGTGTCTCCCAGAGCCAGTATTTCGTCCAGTTTGGGCCTCAGCCAGGTCTTCACAGGGTGGACCTTCTTCATGGCGATAGCCATCACGCAGTTTGCCACGTTCTGCGCGCCTTTGCCTTTGTACATCTCGCTGTGCTCGTGGGTTAACCCGTGAAGGATCGCCATCTGTCCAGAAAGTTCCCTGAACGTCGATGGCACGTTCACGTGCATGTTCTCGTAGGTGTAACCGGTGTCAAAATTGTTCTGATCTACCAGTGGGTCAGTCGCGAAACGTTTGTCGATGCTGTAATTCGAAATGGTGATCGACAGAGGTTCTTTATGGATCTTGGCTGCCGTGACAGCCTTCAGCTTGTCTCCCTTCGGTACCGGTTTCGTGCAGTCCATTTTGTTCTCGTCGATGTCAACGGGGTTGATGGTCCTCAGGACGCTTTTGTCCACGGTCAGACGACTGCTACTCGGAATTCGGTCCACGTATCCGCGACCTACCTCGATCACCTTCAGCACCGTCACCTTGTCGATGCAATACCTGGAGTCGTACTTCTGGTCCATGCTCTTGAGGAAATGATCACGGATATCGTTGAGACATTTGAACCTCATGACACAGGCCACTCCGTCTGGATGATGAACGCCATCTTCGTCGCAGGGTGCCGGATCGAAGAACAGGAAGCCGATTTCAGGATGACGCCACATGGCCATCGAAGTTCCCTGTGCTGTGATCACTCCTGCGTCGTTACTCTCGAAGAATTTCTGCAGTCCATCGGCGAAATCTGGGCAGCCTACGGTTTCGCTGAACAAGTTTCCATAAATTCCCGTTTCTTCCACGCAAACTAGGACTTTGTAGGTAGAGATGTAGAATTCCGGATAGACCAGATTGGCCTTCATGTACTCGTTGTCCTTCACGTGATTCCTCATCACGCTGGTGCGAAACACCTTGTCGCCATACTCTAGTACTTGGTCCACGTATTCCTTTGCCCATTCTTTCGGTTCGAACAAGCGTCCATAGACTATAGCTACGATCGATGCCGGCGCAGCTTGACGGCCACGACTTCTGTACTTGAAATGGCCGTCTGTCATCGCGTACGAACCGCGTAGGATCGCGGAATTCGGTGTTAAAACACGGAATCGGTGCCATCGTTTGCCGAAATCGAATCGTTGCGGCCTTTTCTTCTTGGGAAGTGCGTCGCCTTCGCCGGAAGTGCCTGGACCGGTCACGACCCTCTTTTTCTCGGCTGCAGGACCCGCCATATTGTTTTTGTATATTTATTACAACGATTCTTCGAAAAACAGTTCTCTTTTTATTCAAAGGAACAAAATATTTGTAATTTAGTGAAATATCTAGATTTTAAGATAAATTTTGTTATACTTTACTTAACCAATTCGTGAATGGGTATCGAAGATGATGAACGACGAATACTTGCCTCTTGGAACTTCAAATATGATCGATTTTAATAAAAGTTTCGGAAAATCTTCATTTTTAGCGTATCAAGGAGAGTTAATAAACGTGAAAAATTTCCCGGAAAGTTTTACTTGAAAATTTTGTCTATACATGTCTGAAAGATGTCAAGGATCAGTGCGAGGAAGAACGTCGATGGGGGATGGAATGAAAATCGAAGTTAATATCGACACAACGACGTGAAATTGAATTTTTAATCGATGGGAGAGTTGCATAGGGAATAAAGAACCCAAGATTTACTGTTTCAGATGCTTTTATTATAAATTGCCTCGCTTACTGAACAATTCCGAGAATTCTTTCTTAAACAGAGCTAAACAGCGCGATCTACTTGTATAAAATTATTCGTATCTAAAATCAGACTTACCTGACGAATCGCCTTAAACCTCTCTCTCTCTCTCTCTCTCTCTTTCTCTCTCTCTCTCTCTCTCTCTCTCTCTCTCTCTCTCTCTCTCTCTCTCTCTCTCTCTCTCTCTCTCTCTCTCTCTCTCTCTCTCTCTCTCTCTCTCTCTCTCTCTCTCTCTCTCTCTCTCTATTAACAGACACGCAATGTACATATAGAAAAATATTTAATCGCAATATAGATGAGAACGCGGGAAGCCTTTCTAGTTAGATCTCGTATAGGAATTAGCAGGATCGAGTGTCCGCCTCGACGAAGAGTTTTACTGTCATCGATAAAACATTATTTACACGTGTTTACATACGTAAAAGGCCAAGAACAGATAATAAAACTTCGAACTTAGTTGTAATTAACGTTTTCCTTTCCTTTTTACCTTAGATCACAAAAAGGTGCCGGATACACTTTGCATAATGAAGAAGTACGTTAACAGAGGAAAAACAAGGCGAATTCTACCCAGAAACTAGCTCACCGTGGGTCAAGAATGCAGAAAAGCAACTGTTGCAAAGTATATACCTAAACTTTATTACATCAACATATGAAAAAACGTAATAAATATTATAAATATAGAATATAGTATAAAGTAAAATTGAATACAACTTGCTCTCGTCTTTATTGTTACACTGTTACGTGGATTCACGTATCGACGTAATGACCCCCGGCTTTCCTTCACATTAAACAATCTCCAAGACTTAATAATTATAATAATAATAGTAATAAAGAGAACATGATCGGTATCGATACTTTGCATACAGGCACAAAGACAGAGAAAGAAACACGAATAAATCGCGAGTCACCAAAGAAGCTTATTAATCGTGACAGAGTCCAGTGTTTCTGTTGAAATGGCGAACAAAATATTTTGATTCGTTTGTCTCCGATCGAAATATTCGGATCGTAATAACGGGCAGAAGCTTTCTCTGCAGCTATTATTCTCATATTTACAACATATATATATATATCATATATTGTATATACGTATACAATATATATATATAATATGTATATGCTTAACTGATCTAATAGGATTATTGTAAGAAGTTACCAAAAAATATCTACACAGTAAAAATATAGATATATATATATATATGTATATACATATATAAACACACATACACAGTATGTCGCTCGCTCGCTCGCGCGCGCACGCGTACATGCATATGCCACGGCTGCTTCTCTATTTCATATTTTCTTCTCATTTTCTCGCCATTTTCATCTTTCTCCATTCAATCTGACATAATTTGGACTTTCTCTGTCGTCAAATCCCCGTTCTTCGGCTTCCTCCCCGTTCACGGAGGAAGCGTACATATACATATATATATAATTTTTAGTTTTTCCTTTTTACAGTTTTCCGATTAACGTGTGTGCGTGTAGACTGTGTACCTCCCCACGCGAAATTGCTTACGTACAAACGCGCACCTACGAATACGTGCATCATGGAGCACGTTACGACCGCGCGTGCATGCGTACACTCGATGGCTTGTTTTTGGCTGATTCAGTCGCGTTTATTAATATCTTTCTGGCAGATCGTGACGCGGTTACTCTACTGCTCTAACTTGGACCGACATCGCTTTCCCAAACAATGCCAGAGACTCGTGATATCTCCGATGTACGCGAGCTTCGTCCACGTACCGTGCTCTACCATCGGTCTCCAAGCGTGTCCGCCCAGAAAGAACAACGACGAGATATTTCGCAAACATATGTATGTATATATACATAGGCATAGCTCGCACGTGCGATGATCGGTGTTTCCCGATCGTTCCTCAACGTTTCACGCTACGTGGTCGCTATGGTACGAATCGATTCGATGGCCCGTGTATACCTATGCACACGTTCAAAAATATATATGTGTATCTGAACGATTCGTTTTTTAGTTGCTTTTTCTTTTTTTTTTTTCTGTTTTTTTCTCTCGTTTAATTAACTCCGTCGAATGTTGCGTCACTTAACAATATCGCTACGAACCACATTTAATCTTATTAAAATATATATGTGTATCCCATACACGCATCTATACGAGCGTTTTAACCCCCCATGGTTCAATGTGCGCCATTGTTATCGATTAATTGATCGTTTAATTTACTCGTTATATCTTTCAAGAAGCGCTGAAACGAATATCTGTACCGTTTGACCGATTATTAAAATGCTGGTTAAATACTGGATGTAAATTGCAGCGTTTTATATGCTTAATTTAGATAATGCTGATGAACCACAGGGGGTTAAGAAGAAATATCAATGGCTGTAATGGGCACGCCATACCGTATCGTTTTACGAATTTGCCTCGTTCCACGACCGAGAAACTCGCACAACGACGACACTTGTTTTTTCGTTTATCATCACAGACGGAAAGAGACTTAATTACACGTAATAAGGGCCAATGGATTCCATTCGATTTGCCTCGCTTCCACCATTCTTTCTTCGCTTCGTCGTAAATGTCTCTTTTCTTATTCTTCTTTTTCTCTTCTTCTTTTTTTCTTTTTTTTCCTTCTCGTCGGTCAACCGTCAAATTCGTTCGACCGCGTATGTATCGAAACAAAAACGTGTTTTTGAAACGAGAAACAGGATCATCGGCCGCACGTGTGGTTATTCGCATCCACTTGAAAACTAACGTTACGTAAACGTGGACAATTTGTACAACGAATAACGAGAACTTTGCACGGGCATTAACAATAAATCATGCATGCAGAAAACAACAAATCGCCGGCAATGTCACTTAAACTATTCACAGACTTCGCAAGTATCATCAACTTCAATGCTTTCGATCGCAAAGAGGAATAATATCGCATCCTTCTTTCATCGTTTAATTACTTATCACACCCTGATTAGATAATTGAGATTCGCTAGAACGTACTTCGTATCTTCGCACGCTTAACGTAGAGATTCCAAGCGCTTTTGTGCTAATAACTAGAAGAAAATTGACGATGAAACTGAAGAATGCTCCAACGAAGAGAGCGGGGCAAGAATTGTTGCGAATTTGTGAGATGGCAGAAGATCGTGAACAGAATGAAATCATACAAAGGACAAATCGCTGGAAACCATGTTTGCCAGATTTCATTTTGTTAGACTTCTTGTCGAAAGTTCGTTAGTGACAATATAAGTTTTCTTTGCACGATTTGACATTTCCATCCTCACGTATGCGTGACAACATCTGGTGTGTGTAGATCATAAAGCGACCTTATTCCGAGGAATTACGAATTTCATTGGCATGCACACGTAATACACTTGGCTTTCGATCGCGTGATCGTAGACAAGAAATTTTATGGATTTCGAAGGGAACACATTGCGATGCAAACACGTCGATGACAACGCTGAAAATTATGGTCTAAAAAATAGAGCAAAAACCTGAACATTCGAAAACTGCTTTGTATCCTGTCCCGGTTATGCGCAACTTCTATTGTCATTACAAAAGAAAATTATTCTCGGTCGCTATTCGAAAAGTAGTATATTTCCGACTGTTGTCTGTACTTGGTCCCACGAAATTGCACGATCATCGATTAAATTTTAAAACTATGCCAATTCTTCACTAACCATTTCTGCGATAAAAAATTCTTATTTTAAAAAATGTTCCAATTTCGAGGGAAAGCTCTACGTCACGAAAAACCTATAAAATAGGAAACAAACGATATAATTGACCGATTTAAAAATTCGAAAATCGCGATTCATTCGGTTAACTTTCATCGGAATAAGGCATGCCGCCATTTAGTAAGTATAAAGAACATCGTCTTGGTTGTTTGGAAGTCGAAAGATTAAAACGCGTTTCGTACAGATTAGCCAGAGGAAGGTCTCGCGGCAAACAAAATTTTTTTATTTTTCTCATCTTTTTCTTTGTATTTTGTTTTTTTTTTTATTTTTCCTTTTTTCTTATTGAAACGATGTTTGTTTAAATTTTCAATATACGTATCGTTGTTCAAACGAGAAAGTTTATAAAAGAAATCGCTTCTTGCTTGTTAATGCTACGTTCAACAAGACAGTTTCGCATTACCATTACGCTCGACCGAATTACAGTGCAGCGTAATTTCTCTCTTTTTTTTTTTTTTTACATCTAAGTATTTCACATTCGGAGTATCTGAAAATAGAGATATCTAGCATTTTATTTTATACACTAATTTGTTGGTAACTCTTGAATACCTCCCTCTACATGAATTCATCGTGAGACTAAATATCTCAAGCTATCGTTTATCTAGCCTCTTACCTTGTATATATAAGTCGTATCAAAATCAAGAAAAAAATAGGTTCCGTGATTGGACGATAACGAACATGACGGTACAAGCTGTTTTCACTATCGTTCATGTTTTACAGTTTTTTTTTCTTTGTCGCTGTTTTTTTTTTTTTTTCGTTTTATATCTTTTTTCTTAAGGAAGTGAACACCTCAAGTTTTCGCCAAATCTCGAGACTGGATGTACTTATCAACAATAACGAAAACTTGCACACACATCTCCCGCACCACTTTCTAGTAAAGCTTTATCTTCACATTTTTATAAGCCTAAGTACGTATACATATATGTTTATATATATACAAATTACAACAAAGTAACTCCGTTGTTTGACAGCCTCTATCGTGAAATCAAAGACAGACATTAACTGTCCCGATTAGGGTGCTTGGCAAGGAATCGTCGAGGCCAGGGTAAAGGCCAGTCGTATTGTCGTGGCACCGTGCCGCCCACGTTTTTCTCGAAATATTTAAAAATAGGAAACCACCAGAGTCGGGCCAAAAAGTTGTTTGGTTCATATTGCTGCAAATATATTCGAACGTGTTCTTCAGTATCAAGTAGTTCCATCTACTACGTGTTCATAGTACATTATAGTTCTCTCCTTTTTTTTCATATTTTATATTTTACAATCAAACGTATTCTATGCTCGAATAAAAATGTTTAAGGAAAATACAACTTACCTTAAGATGCGAATTATTAGCTAACGTATGATAGATATACCATAAGCGTGTAGTTACATAGTATGCTATGAGGACATCCACAGTGTAATGTCCGTGAGCGATCAAGACCATAATTACCCCAACAAGGACAGCAATGCCCGCCAGCCAATGAATTGGTTGACACCTTCTCGGAGAATCTACAATTTTAAATATTCTGTTTTTCTAATTGTTCAATGCTTCAAAATACATATTCCACGACGTACAAACTGCATTACAAATGTGATACTTACACTCCTTGATAATCAGGTAACTAAGTACAAGCACGACTGTATGACCGCTGTAAATGTAATCCCCGCAGTAAGTGTGCTTGCCGTTTATAGACAAGCCGAAGCCAGAAATGAGCTGCAAAACCCTTTTCGTAACCAATAGCGCACTGGTATTGTTCGCTTTCGGACTGCAAAAATACGTTTTGCTGGCAACAGGCAGTACCGTCACGTACATTGTAATACTCCTCATCATGTACAACAGTCCCATCAAAAGAAATATTCGCCTAACAACGATAAACCTGCAAGAAATAACATAACGTTCTATAAAATGAAAGTCATCTCGAACATCAGCCTACAGTGGTGAACAAACGTTTCAGAATATACGACTATCTTTTTAGCTCAACTTTAAAGAAATAAAGCTAAAAACAGCAAATGAAAAATCTCGTGAATGCGAAACGGAGCTAAAACGATAACTGTTTTTGAGATTTTTACTCTTACAGTGTATTAATGCTAAAGTTACTTGTGTTCTACTTCTGGCCCAAGCCTGTTAAGCAAAAGTTCAGATTTACAAGTAAAAATTGCATTGACACCGATATGCGATACATACCTATGCTTATGAAAAATAATAAAAACCATCGCTGAGTTGGACATTATCATAATCAAAACTTCCGACACGTTTAGGGCCCAGTCCTCAGCGGCAACGTGGTCCAACACTATATCCGGAAGCGGTTTGTATATATTTCGATCCGGGACCCGTTCGTGCACCATCGCGAGGGACGCGGTGGTTAGTATGAAATTCACGACCATAAATAAAAATGCTGCAACAAGAATTACGTCATCGTTACTAAAACGGCAAGTTTCAAGCTTGTAGATAAAGTATAACGAATACTAATTCAAAATGACAAGTTCATCAAACATGTTTCGAAAATAAATATTATCCTGAGGAGGCTTTAAAAATGATTAAGTAAATAAATAAAGTTATCTAATCTTGCGACCTTATTAACCGTGAGAGCAACTTTGCTATATCTGTATCTACATATTCATTGTCCACTTTTTTCAAATGATTGACCGAATAGGCGTAACAATAACCAGATACGAAACAAAATTCCGAAAAACCACACGTTATATCGAGCAACTCTAAACAATAGCAGTTCACGTGTGCATACATCAATTCGTCGAAAATAAACCGGTGATTCAAGCATGCGGGTCAACGCAGTTAGTCGAATATCGCGCGTGCACGATAGAACACAGAGGTAGCAGTCATCGTACATTTTATCCTCGTCTTTGTGTCTGAACCTAGAAACCAAGCTATTCCACTTTGCGCAGCTACGTTTCCTTTGTACCAAAATTTCTAACCGAGGACTCTCTCTTTGCCCACCGCCAAAGATTACTCTTTTCTACTTCAATATAGCAGGCAACAACGCGCAGAATAAAGCACGAACACATACATACCAGATACAATTGTTATACTGGGTGTGCCAACTAAGATTTCAGACAATTTTACATCTTCCTTCCCCTTCAAGTTCATTCGCAGATCGATTTAATTATATTTTAAGAGATCGTATTTTCGAGGATTTTTCCAAGATGAAATATAAACGAGTTCGACAGCCTCGCATAAGGGGACACCGTGGTAACATAAGACCGTGTAATTATAGAAGGTGCTCCACTATTAAAGGTTACCGCCTTAGTGAAAGGCCATTTAAAACGAACCATTCTACGTATTAAATTTAACATTACTAAAATTAGTTTGCACACGGGATCGTTGAACTTATTGTCCGATTTTATCGCGAGAAACGTTCTTAAAAAAAGAAAAGAACCGGGCGACTTTCATCGCTAACATTGTTGCAAGGAATCATTAATTACAGCGTTATTCTGGACGTCGGTTATCTTGGTGCACACTGTATATTAATCAAAAGCTGCGACGCGAAAACTGGTATCACGATAACACACATTCGCAGGAAATGGCGCGGTGCCAAAATTTGGCTGGTGCTCTCTGGCTTTCTACCAACAAGGGAAAAGCTTTTCAGAGTCCACCCTCAAAGCCATTCCTACCTACATCCGCAAACATTCGCGGGACAGCCTACCGTTTAGTCCCCTCGGCGGATCTTAGAGCACGAGAACGGAGAAACGAATCTGTGCGTCATACATTAACGTATCAGCTGATGCATTAAGATGAACACTCTAATGACTATTACAGAAATTATACGGGAACTTTCTCCCGGTGAAATGCGCTTTCGTAGAAATTACCAGAGACCAGGCTCGTACGCGGACGACCACCAGATTCCGTGGAAATATCTAAGGCGTCAGGCAACCACGTGATAAATTATCTTTGTCTCTTATCTCGCAGAAGACAGAGATAAATTATTACGTAAGTCGTTGCCGATAACAGGTGAAACGATGCGAGTTTACAAGCGATCTCTTCAACGATAGCACACCGAGAACGGAGGAGTCGAAATGCATGGCGAAACAGTTGAAGAACTTTGTCACGCAGCGATCTAGTTCAGGAACAGAATCGGCCTAACGGGACCCGACAGTGGCCCGTTCTAATGACTCGATCGTTTCGGATTCATCGCTCAAGAACACATGATCAAACACGACTGTATTAGATCAACCTCCGAGCAGATCTGCATCGGAATACCAGGCCACGTAGCGACCTCGATCTCGATCCCGATGGACACCCCGTCGTGTGAATGGAGCATGGACGCGAGAGAAGACCAGCCTAAAGGGAGTTCATTGCCGATGAAATTGCAAGAGAAGTTTCCTCGTTCTTTTACATAATCGTCGTGCCACCGGTATCTCGTTTGGAAATCCTTATCAATCCAGTAGGAGATATCTAATCGAAATTTCACGATGCGATAGCTATCGCAAAATCGTATGGAAGTCCACAATTCTACGACGGTGTTTCCTTCGGGACAACTCCAAGAAAAATTCCTGCAGTCTGGTAGTCGCCATGAAGATGTAACCACCGTACAAGCTCTTGTAATCCCATCCTCGAAGTTAACGAGTCTTGGACGGTAATCCTCGTGATCGTTACGAAGAACCCCTATACACCTGAGACAACACATCGTGAACAGTAATGCGTGGAATAACTTCTTTCTCGAAAGTATTACTATACCTCAAGACACATGTCCGACACGTGTTCCAGGCCATCGAGTAGGAAGAACAAAGGAGGTCCTGGGTGATCCTTACCAATAAACGTTTTCCACTTCTCTTTGGGGAAACGAGGTTCTTCCCGAAGTGGCGCGGGTATGTCGAGCTTAACGACACCATTCCCGGAGCCATTTGGTATGCCAGGATGCCGACCGAGACTGTCGATTTTCTCGTCCTCGTCGTCCACGTAATAGTCGGAGCTGGATGCCACCCCGGACCACTTATCCTTGCCCTTGGTCGGTGCACCAGGTAATAACGGCTGCCGTTGGTAAACGTCGCTCGACTGTGCCATCCCGTTGCTACTTCCATCAACCGCCGCCTCGACGTCCCTCTCGTGGCCCTCTCCGGCGCCCAATGGTCGATCGAAGCTTCCGTAATCACTATGCAGACTCGTGACCTTGGGGTCCAATACCATCCTGTGAACAGAAGACGCAACTATCATCGCAATTGCTCGTCGTTCCACGTGTCGGCTGACAGAGCTCGCCCGCGAGGAGCCGAAGGATTCCACGAGTGCTCGAGACGGGTATTTTTCGTTATTAGGAGGAAAACCAGCGGGCCTTGGCAGAGAAAACTAATCTTCTCTTTCATCTCTTTTCAGCCGACCTCCAAGATGAAAGGTAATTGCGGCGAACGACAATGGTGCGGAATTTTTCGAACGACAATTAGATTACGTAAGATCGTGAACGATTAAGTGTCATCAGACTGATGGGAAACGTTATGAGCATCGTCGAGATCGTTTCTCGGTAAATCGAGAATGAAATCTGTCTCACGGTACGAAGATTTTTTCAACGGTACAAAATTTGCACCACACGCGCGCCATTTTCGAAACAACAGGGTATCTAAGTACTTCTCTCTTCCCTTGCTACTTAAGCCAACGCGTGCGAATTTTACGCGATAAGCGTCTAACGAAGAAAGATGTATTCGAGATTGAAATATCATACCAATTATCTCGGAATATCCTGTTGCCTTGGCACAACAAAATCGCTCGATTCGCGCGTTGTTTTAAACGGCACTTATCTGCAGAAAGTCCACAGAATTTATCGGTTATGTTATTAATATGTTTTTATCTTTCAGACCCGAAGTGAAACTCCGCTCGAGATTTTCTAATCAACCGCACACGCTCGGGCTCCGTGAAAACCGCTGAACAGCTGAACAATTTAATGGCGCCACGGAGTACGATCGGTATCAATCTAAATGCAGATGAACCGCGATTATTTATAGACAGCTTGTACGCTGAATTCCGAACCGTGACTATACATACAGTCAACCTTTCCTTGCCAACCATCCGGTCGACCAACCTGACAGCCGTTTCGCCGAAAGTCTTTTCGCCAAAGAAAATTCGTCGCTCGCTGGCGAATGGAAAGAGAGAAAAGGGGAAAGAGAGAAAAGGAGAAAGAGAAAAATCGGGCCAAGCTGTTGTCCGCGTACCGCTCGATAAAACGTTCGAGCAGTCCGCGTTTAACCGGATCGTTGACGCTGTGAGCGGTGCAGCCGCTATAACGTTCTACTTTTAGTTATCATCGCACTGCCTGAGCAAAAGGTTATCGTGTTAAGGATACGTCGACGTGGTTCGCTGTAAAAACGCCCACCGACCGAAAGCAGCCTTCGGCCCGGGGTCTTGGGATGGGCGAGGCTAACCAGATATCCGGGCAGGAAGTTCGCGAAAAGTGCAGAGACATTTCGCCGATAATACCCAGCGATTGCTATGATGGACGGAAACGTTAACGGTTATTATCGTGGCGTGGTAGCCTAGCGAACGTATAAAAGAAAACGGCGTAATTGGTAAAAAAAAATAAAAGAAGAGAGGAAAAAAGGAAAAGTCGAAAGGGGAAGAAAATGCATCCGAGTTTTCTCGATAATTAGCTTCCTTTCCCCGATTGTCTCGCAACGCTTATAGTACTCCGAGTTTAATCCGTTCGTGTCGCTAAATTCTACCGGAAATTCTAGACCGCGTTGTTATCCGATGACGATTCGAGATTAATTAACACGAGCCAGGAGATCTCGGTTGTCCGCGATTAACGCTAATCCTCGCTAATTGCTGATTTATCTTCCGCGAGTGTGAGCGTGAGCGTTTGAAACGTTGGCCCTTTCGCAGCTTTTTGCGTTCCAGGGATTCTAGTCGTTCGTGACGGGACATAAAAGCCACGAGAACGAAGAAAAGCTCAGCCGTGGGTGGTACCGACCGATAAGAGGACTTCTTGTAGGTGGATCTCGCGTTCTGCGCGCTGAATAGAACGATAAATCCTGCGCAGATAATTCGATGCCTGGTCGAACGACGTGGAACTCGGTGCTACTTTATATCGTTCGATAACACGAAAAATTACGTATCAACCGTATCAACGACAACGCCGGAATACGATGGTAAACAGAATTATCGTGGGATTGTACAAATAATAGTTCCAGTTCGCTCATAGACAATTACACGGGTCCACGGTCAAATTTACGTAATTTTCTGCAGGCTCGCGAGAATCTCTAACGTTTCACGAGAACAACGAACGACGTGTAAGCTCCTTGTTTTATCTTTTCGAGTTACTAAATCGCTGAGATAATCTCGTTCAGATTACTCGTTTGGAATAGAGATGAAATCTTTTTTACCGCTGCTGTAAAAAGAAGGAAAAGCGAGGCTGAAAGCTGCAATTCATGGCAATGGCCTTTAGAGGCACGAGGAAAGGGAAATTGCAGAACCAATATCACGACTTTTATGCGATCGTTCGCAGAGGAACTCGGAACTTAACCTTCGTGACCCGATAAGCGCCCAAATGAGACCTTTACAACTACCAGCGTCACGTCGCTACAGACCAACGACCTTTTCGACCCAGCTGAAGTTACTTTACGGTCAAGCTACACCTCGTGAAAAAGAAATCTCTCATAAGATTCGCCACGTCTGCTATTCCTATATAACCTTCCACTCTAGCCTCGTACCTCTTATCAGCCGATCCGACATAAGATAAAAAAGATTCTATGAAATTATTGACCCGCGATTCGAATCGTGATCCATTCGATTTATCGCGTTTCAAATAATTTCTCGAGTCTACACAGATAACCCCATTTTATCCTTGGTACATCGGCTCGCATAAATTCCCCGAGACGGTGTAAAAAGGCTAACGTGACTCACGTTCGTCTCGCATTTAGAATATAACTTTTGTCCCAATAGCAATACCAAAATGTCCACCGCCTACGACGCGATCTCGAGTCGCATTTAGCCAGCGAGTAATATATTCTACCCGGACAAGAGGATTTTTGCGAACGTGTACAGAAATCCATGTTTAGAACGAGTCGAATTATGAACAGGTCAGTCTCGAAATAGAACCGCGAGAGATTAATCGAAGCATCCTTATCCTTGCCAGTTCCTATCGCGTTCCATTTCACGAGTGCCACCTTGGTTTTCGCGAAGGCCACTGCAGCTGTACGGGCAACCGGTTACCAAGCATGGACATATTCGTCTCGCAGTGCGCAATTCGCGTGAAAAAGCACACGTCGATACATTTTCACGTTGCCTATCGTGGGCGTTGCTCCGATTCAAAACGATTCCGTCATTCTTCTCCCTCCGTTTTCCTTTTTCCCCGGCGTCCAAGGACTAAAAACATCCACGCAACCTAGAAGAATTGCTCCATCGGTATATCTATTCGATTTCTTCCTACTCCAATGCCTGCATCCACGTTCCTGCATCCCGGAAACTGGGTCATTTTTTACCTGCGCCATCCGGCGATCGCATAAATTTTCTTCGACTCGCGAAAGAAAATACCTCGTTATGTTACGAGGAACCGATTTTGCGCAGCAACGATACACAAAACCGGTGCAGGTTACGTTTCCGGTCGTCGTCGAGGAATCTCGAGCGTGGAAAAAGAGGAGGGACTGCCTAGTTGCCTCTGGTCGTACGAAATATATGATAATATCCTCGATGAGCATGAGGCTCCGTTGACTTCTGAAGCCTCGAACTCAGAGTTCAACGTAGATTTACGTAGATTATAAATGACCCAGTTTCCGCCTGGCTGCCGATATTTTCTCGATGCTTCCTGTCCTTCGGTTAATTCGCTTCCGGCACGATAAGCAGCGTTCACGGAAAACGCTTTTCCCCGACCTCCCGTTAGCTGGATAAAGAAAACAGACAGAATGGTAAATACGTCGGAGGTACGAATGAAATTACGCAAAGATAGAGCTTCACCCAACCTGCCCATACTATTTCAGGAATTACGATGGATTTATATTTCAGAACGCTGTACACGCTCAGGCGCTTGGTTTGTTGTTTCCTCGTCCGTTCCTTCGATTTTTCGACCGCGTGCGTAAGTATTTAAATTTAGTTCCTCCGTAGTACATGGCGCAACCAGTGTTTATCGGCGAATATGTAAAAATGTTGGTCACGTTTGACCATCGTTGCCCGGCTACTCCACATTTCGCTTTATCGCCGCCATGTTGCCCCATTCAAACCGCTGCTCGAAAACGATAACGTAAATGCCGGTTTACATGGCTGCGGCTTTTCGAGAGGGTTACATAAAGGATTACCACCGCGATTCCTTTTAATATAGAGATACCGGCTATCGGTTACGGATGTCGTTTAAGTGTCGCAGATCTGGTTTACGGTTACCGGGCTTACATAAAAATGGTAAACACAGTTTCGTCATTTTCCTTCGAAGAGAGAAAAATGAGTTGCAAGAGAGAAATAATCAACACGATGTTACTTGCGATCAGTGAGAAAATATATTTAGCCTTAATTTATCCGAATAGATTCGTAATTACAATAAGGAAACTTCGAAACTGGTTAGGAGCAGGTTTCGTTGACATTCGTTTTAGCACAAAGGAGCGCTACGGGATTTACTAGAAAGAATACGAATTACCCATAAGGTTTCGAAAGGTCGAGACGAGTTCACGAATTCTATTCGATCTCTGTACCAATGACACGACCCGAGCCATCATCCGTGATCTTCAAACAACTTTGAATACCAATGACGCAAAGATCGATAAACCCCTGTATAACTTTCTAATGACCTTCGGTACCGAGACACGTCGAGTTTGACCTTGGAACGATCGCGAATGTCAATGACACGAGATCGATGACTCCTCGTGACCTACAGACGACCTTTGATGACCTTATAATCTTCGAATGACCTTGTACGTCAACGACGTGACCCGATAACCTACTACGAGCTTCAAAAATCTTGGATGTCAATGTTACACCACCTGGATGACCTCGCGGTAGTCTCGAAATTTTGGAAACCTCGAAAAATCAAGATTCAACGTCATAAAAATATTTCGAGTCAACTTCCGAAATGAACAACTCGGTTATTCGAAAAGGAAATAATATCGAAACAATAATCACGTGAAATACAAAGCCGTCTTGTTTGCATAACTGTCGCCTAGCTACTGTTAAAACATAATCCTCCCTCTCTCACGGTAACGCCCACATGTTAAGCATGTGTGACTGCAGACGTAATACCGCATTTGTTTCATTTTCATTTTTCCTTTTCTCGAAGTCACAGTTACGCCCGTTTAAAATGGACGACCGATACGAGGCAAAAAGACCTGTACGGAATGACCGATTAATTTTCTTCCCTCTCGATCGAATGAATCACCACGGAACGAGATGAACACCTCGATCGGCATACTCGAACACCGTGAATAACACAGTGACGCGTGGTTATAATTAACGATGAGCGCGGTGAACGACAAAGAAATTATTGTCTGTCGATGAGAGGCTTCCTAAGCGGGTCCCTGAACGATATGCGGTTCGTATTAAGGTTAAGCCTGTCAGACGCTGAATTCGTATGATTGCGTTTAGCAAATCGCAGGAGGAAAATAGATCGAAGTCAGCCAACCAGCTGGCCGACCGGCCATGTTTCGTCGATTCAGCACAGACCCGGTAAACACAATTTTATTAATCCATTTACGTGCCCCGAGACTAGTTCAAGCAGGTCTAACCACTACGTCCGCTTTTAAGAAGATATTTTAGTGCCCGTTGCAAGTGGTCCTAAAGTTGCGCGTAACGAGACTTAACGACCTCGATTAACTATGCTTCCGAGAAAGATCATCAGCTTAAAATTCGAAGGTTCGTTTCGAAACAGTCGTTTCTTCGACGAGACATTCCTAAGAATGTCGATAACTTAATACGCTCGCTTCTCTGGAAAATTCAAGATGGAAGATCCTATCCACTGAGAAATATTTCTCATAGTTTTGCTTAATCGATATTAAAATTTACAAATAAATGCTAGAACAAAGAATACGGGATTTTTGATCGAGAAATCTTGCGATACGGGATGAAGGTAGAAACGATGATATTAATGATACGAGAAGGAAGGATACGTCTAAGACAAGCGAACGTTTACCTCGACGTGCCTGTTAACTTCCAAAATTCTGTGGTTCTCGGGAATGACAAATCGCCATGTTCGATCATTTCCAATGGAGCAATTGTATTGGAATATTCGTGTCTATGACAAAACTGACAATATCACCGGAAGTGGCTTCGCGATTTCACCTAAAGGTCAAGTAATTCTTTACAGAGAGCCGAACAAAGCAGTTCGAGCCAATTGTTCCCAAGGCTTTCCATTCTATCCTTTTTCCACGTCCCTGGTCGATTTCAAATCGATGCGAACCTTCTCGAAATTGAAACCATATGGCACCGGGCAACTTTTACAGACGGGCAAGCCAGGGAAATCTGCATTCCCCGTGAACGAGTGTCTTTCATCGAATATTAAAGCCCGAGGAACCGAGCAGTCCATTTTTTCCAACGAATCCTTTTGAAATATTTATCATCGATCCCGTGGGAAGTAACGTTAAGCCATTTCAATGGTACAAACTAGTTATTTACTATCGATTCATCGCTATACACGGCCGAGGTGTATCGAAGGTGTCGCTGTTAAAGACTCTTTAGCAACAGGTTAATAAATCGTTAGGCACGATACGGTCGTGCATATGCTGAAATTAAACGCGAGGGGGAGGGGGAGGGGGGGGGGCAAAAATCGAGAAACCTTAAAAATGACGTACACAAACGGTGAAAATAACAAGCGTAACCTAATTAAAATAATTTCTAAAATCAAACACTATTCTAAGGTGTAAACATCTTCCAGTTTGGAACGAACGGACAAGATAACAAGCATACCCCAATTAAAATAATTTCTAGAATAATATCCTAATTAAAGTAAGTGGGACACCGGATGGTTCTCTACCATAGCGTAACTAAGAAAATCATAAAACAAAAGTATTTCCATATATTGCCATAGACTCTACTACAAGGCGTAGTCCAATCGTGTATACCTTCGAACATCGAGCTCGATGCCTAGTCGGACGTCGTGTGCACACCTCATCGAATAACTTTTCGATTGCACCGTCGATTCATTTTCTCTATCAGCCTGCAACCCCTTACTTCCACCCGCAGCTTCTTTCTCACGAACGTCCATGGGGCAAAACAGACTAATTCGATTCGTTCCATCAAATTGCCGTTCCACGATCACGTTCATCATCCTTCGAAGCAATTGGGGCACGTGGATCGCTCGTTGAACGATTCGATCGAGTCCAATCGGGCTGGCTGCACGGCATAAAGCGATTCAGCATCGTCCAACGATCGAAGCACTCGTTATTCAATCACTGGCAAAGAGCTTCAGGTCCGCAACAAGTAACATTTTTGCAGGCTATAGAACACTAACGGTTCAAGCGACGATAATCCGCAACGCAGCCGTATCATCTGACTATATATCCCGGGCTTATCAACTCGAACACATCGCGAAGTGCACAACGATAAGGCCGGCATAACCGCAACGGTTCTCGAAAGGCGACTTGAAGTTTCCACGAAATGCAGAGAGGCTGTATTTTTTTCGTTCAGTCGGCTGCGGAATGTTTGCACGTGGCAAATACCGCGGAATCGAGAGAGAAAAAATAAGATAACCGGCCAGTCTAAAATTGTATACGTGATTTATACAGGCAATTCGGTGTTTTGAGAAACGAAGTAGGAGGCCCATTAACCGGCGTTGATCGATTCCAGCAAATAATAGAGAAAATAAGTCATTTCGAGTTGCAACAATGCGGGTGGGAATGAATATTTATCGCGATCCCTCTTGCGAATAATCGCTGCGTTTTCCAACGCGATAGAACGCCACCCTGAAGGGTAAATGACTTCTTCCACGAGCAATTAACTCTCTTATCGTTGCCAAGCTCACGGGCGTAGTTTCCTCGAAACAATAGGCCGATTTAAAACGTCTTCGTGAACCGATAAGGCGTTTAAAGAATGACCGAATGATTGTGTTTTGCTATTGTTCGTTCTTACCGGGATTCACAGGGTGCCCGATGTGTGACGAATAATGAGTATGACGACAGTTCCACCGACTATTAAGCATCTGCTTTTAGTTTTGGGACTACACTTTCGCGAAACGTTCTGTATTTCTTCGTTTTCCAACTGTTACGTTCGAAATCGAACACCTTTGTATACAATAGACCAAGTGGCTTTCACCTGGAACGATCATCAATTAGACATCTCTCATCGCGGAACAACTACCTTGTACCTTCGAAAATTTGTAGAAAGTGAGAAACGTTGATTTCTAATAAACGTATCGTTGAAAATAACATACGTCTTAACGTATCGAATATAGAAAAATTAATCTGTCAAGAGAAATAGATGTATCTTTAACCGTTTGAGTGCCACGGGTCATTATTGTTTCCCAATCGATATTTGCCAAGCGGCGCGATAGCGCTTCTCATGTTCCGCGTTCACCAACCGAGCGCGCTGATTAGCTTCGCAGCTCAGAACGCTGGCACTTTTGGACACAAAATAGAAGAAGCGCGATCGCGCCGCTTGGCACTCAAACGGTTAAGCTATGCGCCGGGAAGGTTCCAGGAGTGCGTGAGGTTATTGTTTCACGCGTTGGATAGGAGCTGGAGGACCGGGACGAGCTGCAGTCGCATGTCTTTTATTTTTTTCTTTTCCTCGCTCTAGTTTTGATTCTCTACGAGAATAGTAAGGTATACCTTCTTTAAGAGAGAAATAAAAAGAATTAGAATATAAGGATAGTTATTTCTCTTACCCGTAATCGCAATAGGTTATGGGCCCAGTTGTACGTTGTTGAATAAGTGAAAAAAGTGAACACTATTTGTGAATTATGAACGGTGAAAGTGTCGTAAATTGAAAACATTGAATACAGTGAAATTTACGAACAATGGAAAACGTAGGAACGATTTGTAATATTAAAGCGTTCGATGGTGAGAGGTACAGCGTGTGGAAGTTTCGCATACGCGCTGTACTAACAGAACTGAATATTATTCACGTCATAGATGAAGAAACCCCACTAAATAAAATAGAAGAGTGGCAGAAGGCAGAGCGTACAGCTAAAGGCGTAACAGTGGAATATTTAGCGGATTCTCTGTTAAGTTTTACGACGCCAGAGAAAAATGCAAAGGAAATTCTTAGAAATCTCGATAGCTTACACGAGGGTAAAAGTCTCGCTACTCAACTGGCCTTGCCTAAGGAACTGCTAGGTTTAAAATTGCAGTGCGATACAACCCTAATGAAACATTTTACAATATTTGACGGGTTAATAAACGGATTAAAAGCAGCGGGAGCCAGATTAGAAGCAATGGACATCATATCGCATCTGCTTTTTACACTTCCATCGTCGTATGATGGAGTGGTAACTGCGATAAAAGCATTAGCTGATGACAATATAAGTGTCGAGTTTGTTAAAATAAGGTTGTTGGACCACGAAGTCAAGCTGGCCAAGAAAAATCGCGATACGAGTACTAAGATACTCCATGCAGCGAAATGCAAAGACTTTTTGATGAAGCATAGGAATCATAAAGGTTACAAGCATTTTAAAATAAATAATACGTCGCCCTGCGTTACGAAACCGTTCACGTCATTTGTCCCAAAGTGCTATCAATGTGGCAGAAAAGGACACGTGAAAAAGGGCTGTTATTATTTCAAGAAGACAAATGAACAAAGAAATGAGAACAGAAGAACACTGCAGACTGTGCAATCCGTACAGCCATCAACTTCAGAGGAAAGCACAGGTTTTGTTTTTATGGCTGGAGATTATGAATACAATATTGAAAACGGCAAGGATCAAATTCTTATTGGATTCTGGAGCGTCCGATCACCTTATTAACCCTTTGACTACGGCAGATTTTGATACGCAGCAGCCGTACCATACGACAAGAATTGAGTTACGATGTGCGCCATTTTTGTGAAAACAAGTGCCCTCCATTTCACAAACGCAAAATTGCCAAGCGCCTATAGGCACCCTCCGTGTCACAAACGCAAAATTTCTAATCGTCCATAGGCACCCTCCGTGTCACAAACGCAAAATTTCTAATCGTCCATAGGCACCCTCCGTGTCACAAACGCAAAATTTCTAATCGTCCATAGGCACCCTCCGTGTCACAAACACAAAATTTCTAATCGTCCATAGGCACCCTCCGTGTCACAAACGCAAAATTTCTAATCGTCCATAGGCACCCTCCGTGTCACAAACGCAAAATTTCTAATCGTCCATAGGCACCCTCCGTGTCACAAACACAAAATTTCTAAGCGCCCTTAGGCACCCTCCGTGTCACAAACGCAAAATTTCTAATCGTCCATAGGCGCCCTCCGTGTCACAAACGCAAAATTCCTAAGCGCCCACAGTAGTCAAGGGGTTAATAGAGAGGACTTAGCGGAAAACTCCAGAACATTGCAGACTCCTATAAGGATCTCGGTGGCGAAAACTAACACGTTCATAATGGCAACAAAAAGGGGCGTGTTGAATGTGGTCAGTGATATGGGAGCCACCGGAGAACTTCAAGACGTCCTATATTCGCCAGATGTCCAGTACAATTTATATCTCCAGTATATTTATATCTCCAGTCTGTGTCAAAAATGCCAAATATGGGCACAACGTTAATTTTTGATCAGAAGGAGGTAAGAATCCTGAAAGACGGTAAGGTCATCATGAAGAGTAAGTCTGTAAATAATTTAATTACTATAGAGTTTGAAGTGGAACAGATAAGAGTGAACTCAGTTATTCAAACTGATAATTATTCTAGATAATAAGAGAATAATCAAGAAATAAAGAAATGATTAACGATGTAGAATTGGTTAACAAAATAGTTACAAACAATAACTTATGCGAAGCTTGTATAAAAGGAAAACAAGCCAGACTGCCATTTCAAAAGAACAAAGATAAGAATTACGTAAAAAGACCTTTGTTAATAGTTTATTCAGACGTATGCAGTCCAATCACTCCTTCTACAATAGACAATAAAAATTACTTTGCAACATTTATCGATGAGTACACTCATTATTGTGTAACGTACTTAATGATACATAGATCTGAGCTTTTTACAGTTTTTAAGGATTATGTTGCAAAGACAGAAGCTCATTTTAATGTAAAATTGGTGAATTTATACTGTGATAACGGTAGAGAGTATTTGTCAAATGAGATGAAAGACCATTGTATTGAAAAGGGTTTAGTTATTATTTGACCGTTCCACGAACCCCACAGCTAAATGGTGTAGCAGAGAGAATGAACGGAACGGTCACAGAAAAGGCTCGTGCAATGATCGCTGGTGCGAGATTAGATCAATTTTCTGGGGTGAAGCCGTTCTCACTGCTACATATTTAATTAATAGAACTCCAACGAGAGGTTTGAAAGAAAATAAAACACCGTTTGAATTGTGGCATGGTAAAAAGCCGCAAGTAAAGTACTTCAGAATTTTTGGTTCTACGGTATATGTACATAACAAAATCAGTAAATCAAAATTTGACGATAGATCGTGGAGAGGAATCCTGGTAGGATATGAAACAAACGGATATAAAGTGTAGGATGTGGAAAAGGAAAAGTATATAGTTGTTAGGGATGTGATTTTCGATGAAACTAACTTCTTAAAGTCTAGACCTGTAGTAAGGATGGAAGAGATTAAGAGTGAAAAATTTCAAAACAAAACTGATGTTCTGACGCACAGTCAAAATCAGTAGATGACTCGAATAAATCTGATAATGGTAAATCAGACTGTTTAAATTGGAATATATTGGTAATAAAACTGACGTTTCTGACGTACAGTCAAAATCAGTAGATGACTCGAATAAATCTGATAATAGTAAATCAGATAGTTTAAATTTGGAATATATTGGTAATAAAACTGATGTTTCTGACGTACAGTCAAAATCAGTGGATGAGTTGAGTAAGTCTGGTAATAACAAAACAGACAAATTAAACTATAGAAACTCTAACAAAAATAATGAGAGTTATTTAAACGATAACGTGGAAATGGCCCAAGAAAGTAATTCATTAGTTCAGGACAATATGAATACTGACAGTAAACACAGTAACAAAAGATTAGAATTAGAACCTAGGAGCAGTGATAGGATTAAAAAGCGACCCCATATTTCATATGACGAAGAAAGCATGCAAGAAGATTATTTAATGTGTGCACAGTCGATAGTATGTGATACTCCTGCATCGTATCAGAAGATTGATAGTAGAGATGACAGAGATCAATGGAAATCAGCTATCAAAGCTGAAATTGATTCTCCATTGATAAATAAAACTTGGACTTTAGTACCGAAACCCAGGGATAAGAATATCGTA